CTCCCAACAACCTCTTAACTTCTTCCTCTCCAGTTTTGCCTCTTATACTGCTAGCAACAATCCTCAGGTGGATCTCCCACACCCAGCACAGCACTGGTTCAGTTCAGCTGGGTGTTACAAGTTGACCACCAGTTGTCAATACACCACACTGCCTTTGCTGTGGCCATAAAAAATACAGAGCCTAAATCTGATTTTCAGGCTTCCAAGAAGAGTGCGATGACCACCAACTTCACCTGCTACCACTGCCAAAAACCAGGCCACCTTAAGAGGGACTGCTTAAGAGGCCCCCCATGCCATGTCTTAATTGCAAAGGCTGCCACTGGAGGCAAGACTACACTCTGAGGCAGAGGCTCCTGAGCTCAGACTTATTTGAGTCTGAGCTGGTCTAGCAAGTTTAAAGGGCCCCAGGGCACTCTGCCCTCTTCCTCTGGCTGGATTATCATTCCTACCTGTCATCTCCATGGAGAAGCTCTAGTTAATTATGACTATTTGCCTTTCTTTTCAATCCTGGCCTTAATTTCAGCCATCATACCTCAATAAAAAGGAGTTACCAGATAAAATGTAACTCACTTAAGCTGTAACTGGGATGACTTTCTCTTCACCCATTCCTTTCAGTTATGCCTAAAGCCCAGCTTCCATCCTGGGGAGAGATATTTTATCCTGTCCAAATACTATAATATATATACCAGGTTGCCAACTAGTCAAAATGACGCTTAGACTGGCTTTACAAATACAATATAGGGGCTGGGGATTTAGCTCAGCGGCAAAAGCGCCTGCCTGGCAAGCGCAAGGTTGTGAGTTTGGTTCCCGGTACCGGAGAAAAACAAAAAAAAAAAAAAAAAAAAAAAAAAAAAAAAACAAAAACAATATATTGTTGTCTGTGTACAATAATGTGGGAGTTTTTCATTGGTCAAAAATAATGTGCTACTTGTTATAATCTGTTTCTCATAAGTCATCAAAATTTTTGAGATAATTACAGAGACTTAAAACAAAATATTAGATTCCAAAAATAGAGGGTTCTAAGAGCCAATGGGTTGCAATTGCTAGCCCCTTAAGAACAATTTCTAGACTTATTGGCAGCTTGATTTTACTCATATGCCAAAGAATAAAGGAGTTCAATACTTATTGGTCTGCATAGATACCTTCACAAACTGGGTTAAACTTTCCTTGTAGAGCAGAAAAGGCACAAGAGGTGATAAAAATTTTAGTCTCAGAAATTATTCCCAGATTTGGGCTTCCTAAGAGCTTATAGAGTGATAATGGGCCCTCTTTTAAAGCAACAGTCATGCAAGGTATGACAGGAACTGGGAATTCTCTATCACTTCCACTGTGCATGGAGAATGCAATCATCAGGAAAGGTAGAAAAATGAATGAGACTCTAAAGAGACATCATCGCAAAATGGCTCAGGAGACCCACCTACACTGTCCTCACTTATCACCCTTAGCTCTCATCAAAATCAGAAATATACCTCAAATTTTGGGCCTAAGTCCATTTGAAATGCTTTATAGATGGCCTTTTCTCACTAATAATTTTCTCTTCAATAGAGAGACAGATACCTTACTGAAGGATGTTCCTTCACTGGCTAAATTCCAACAGACGCTTCAACAGCTAATGGAAGCTCAGCCTAAAAAAAGGGAAATCCCATATTTCATCCCGGAGACTTAATACTGGTAAAGTCTCTTCCCTCCTCACCCCTTCCCAAGGACCAACTTGGGAAGGACCATACACTGTGATCCTGTCAATTCCATCAGCTGTCAAGGTAGCAAGCCTGGACTCCTGGATACACCACACCCAACTCAAGTCCTAGGAACCAGAGACTGTCACTGAGTGTAAGAAACATTATCAGAATACTCCTGTGAACCCATAGAAGACTTAAGCTTTTGTTCAAGAAAAAACAAAGTCTTCAGATAAGTAAACTAAGATGTTACTATTACCCCTTTTACTAATCACTTTACCACTTAAGGGAGAATGCAATTCTTTTCTAAGGTGGGCACAAGAATATGCAGAATCATCACAACAAACACCTTGCTGAATATGTGGCTTGCTCCCTTTGTTGAGTACATCTAGACTTCTTTGGTGGGTATCCCCACTCTAAGGAGATGATTAAAATAAACTACAAGACTGCATTTATGCGTTGTAAAAGAGTTCAATGGTTCATAGTTTAGTCCACCATTACAAGGTAGCTGAGTGGCCTATATTTTAATATTCTTAATGATTCTGGACATAGTAGAATTTTTTCTAACAACATCTCTGAAGCCTCTTTAAGGGTTCTGGTAGGACTCCTATTAAATAAAAGTAAAGGTCCTATCTTAAGGGTCAACAACCATAGATATCAAGATGGCTATTTTCAGATATGAGATCATTATCTATGGTTAAGCCCCACTATAAGACATCTCAGTGGAAAGGCCCCCTTATGTTGGGAACAGAAAAATCACTCCTATTCTCATTGACCTAACTCAACTAAATACTTGGGAGGGACAACCCCCTGAACAATATATACACACAATAACTTTGTAGGCTGAAGATTGTTTTGCACTGAACTGGTTTAATCACTCTGGAATTAGATGGGAAGTCCCCAATGGCACTTATTGGTCCTGTGGAGCCAATCTGTGGCCTTGGTTACCCATTGGATGGACAGGAAGGTGCAGGCTGGGATTTGCTTGATTACAAGGCACAAGTGTCAAAAGTATTGACAAACCTGCAAACTTGCCCCACCTACAGTACTGATGGTCTAGAAATGTGTTTCACTGGTGTGATCACTTGGCTTCTATCTTTATTCCTTCCCTAGGGCTAGGGGATGTCATGCAACCTATGGAGGCCTTAACTAACTATACTCAGCAGGTGTTGGCTGGTCTCTCTCTCCTGAATGAAGAAGTAAAATTAATGAGGTCAGCCATCCTCCAAAACTGGATGGCATTAGACATTCTAACAGCAGTACAAGGGGGTATCTGTGCAATTATAAAAGCTGAATGTTGTGTGTATATTCCTGATCCTTCTGCTAATATCTCAATAGCTGTTCAAGATATTAGACAACAGGTTAATGACATGTCAGATTCTGAAATTCCTTGGACCTTCTTCTTATCCTCTTTATGGAAAGCTACTACTGGTTTCTCCTGGTGAAAAACTTTGCTGGCTATATTCATAATTATCCTATTGATTTTATTATCTGGCCCATGCATACTTAATTGTTTCTGTGGCCTTGTCTCCTTCAGACTTAAAATTGTACATCTACCAAAGACAGTAACACCTGGCACCTATCCAGGGCCTTTAGGTAGACCCTCTGTGAAGTATCTCTGACTGCCAATCATAACTACAACCCTCTTCAGCTGGAAGTAGCCAGATCTGTCTTTAACCCTTGCTCTGTCATGGCACTTAGGGGTACATCTTCAGAGAGTGGAATGTTCTAGGTTGCTAAGTTAGGTAGGAATATTATAGGCAGTCAGACAGGCCTGGGCCCTTGAGAGGTCAATGTAGAAGACAGCTGTGGCTGGAGCACTATTCATAGAAGGCCAGGTTTGAAGAAAAAGTACTACTCACCCATATACTCCCCTAGGGATGAACAGCAGTGATTGATACCAATCACCTTGGGATGGAGGACCAAACCTCCTTAACCCACGCCTTCCAGGAAAGTTCTTGTCTCTCCATGCGTGCTTGCTCCATGACTTGCTTCCCAATTTGATCCCCATTGAATCAATACTACCCAAGTGACTATATTTGTTGTGTACTTATTGGTTGACCATAGTTTTGGCCCACCTCACACAGATCTTATGACTTCCTGCTGGACCAATATTACCTAAGTGACTATACTTGTAACTTTATTAATTGGTTATAGTTCAGTCCCACCTTAAGCCTGTCTCACCTCGTGGCTTTGCTCAATAAGACACTCTTGAGAAGCAGGATCGTAGGCAGCCCACTTTCTGGGTTGTTATGATGATGGCATTGACCTGCCCAAAATGCCTTGGTATTGGAGGCATTGCAGCTTGGGATGGGAATGTCTGGGTCTGGTACATGCTGCCCTTTCTGCCATGGTTTCTATGCAGCCCGGTTACATGAGGCTTACTTGTTTTGTCTGGCTTTTTGAGACAAGTCTCATTATGTAGCCCAGGCTGGTCTTGAACTCAGGGTGATCCTCTTGCCTCAGCTTCCCGAGTGCTGAGATAACAAGTGTGTGCCATCATGAGTGGCCCAAGTGAGGGCTACTTGTGTGTCTGTTTTCTTGGGTGGATCTATGTACTTGCTAAGATCAAGAGTTGTGTCTTTTGGCCAGGTGTCAAGGTGCATACCTGTGATCTCAGCTACTCAGGAGGCTGAGGCAAAAAGATCACGAGTTCAAGGCCAGCCTCAGAAAGAGCAAAATAAAAAGGTTTTAAAGGGTTGAGGATGTAGCTTAATGGTAGTGCACCCTTGGGTTCAATCTCTTGTACTGCAAAAAAAAAAAAAAAAATATATATATATATATATATATATTTATGTTTTTTATGTCTTTGTAACGCTTGGGCACAGTAATTTGTCAGATGATTCAATGAGAGAATGAGTAGGATGAATAACGTGAGATAATGAAGTCAAAAGCCAGAGGCGTCTCTACAGCACTGTGCGGCGAGTGTGCGCAGTGGCAGGGAGGACAGACAGCGCTGGTGCGTTCATTTCTCTTCAGTCTTCTGTCTAGCTCTAATATTCTTTACTTATATGGTACAGGGTACTTTTCAACACTTTCTAAAAACTTCTCTTATTGAATATTCACAACCACACCCCAAAATGGAGACCCTGCATGCTGGTTTTGGAGGAGCAGGATATGTCTGAGGTGGGGTTCGTGTTAGACCCTCCTGTCCTGATTCCCTCACCTGTGTCTTCCCTGGCACTGTGGTCTGGGTGCCCGTACCTGGTCCCACGGAGCACAGCCCGTGTCCGTCCCAGCTCTGTGTGGGACGAGGTGATGCTCTCAGGAGGGAAATTCCACAGCCTTGCCTTTGTATGTGGGAAATAAAGACACCTGCTACCGTTTCTTACAATATACGTAAACTTTAAGCATGTAAACGACACCCACATCGGGATTACGGCTGTTTCACTTAGAATCCTTGCTGGCACAGGTACATGATGCTCATGAGGAGAGGCGCTGGCCCATCACCCGGTTTGGGAGGCGTCCTCTGGGCACCCTAATGTCTTTTCCGAGCTCGTCCTGTCAGACCACGATGGTTCTCACAGTAATGCCTGGTCTCTTTCGTGAAATGTTAGAAGGGGGTGTCCAGGATATTCACCCGCATCAAGAACTTGTTTTTCTGAAGATCCTGGATGCTCACCTTGCCTGATGAAAGTTTGTCCCAGGACGGGAGACTCAGCACTGTGCGAAGCCACTGGTCTTCCATGAGCTCCACGTTTGAGTACCACCACTCCTGTGGGAGGAGAGAGAGGGCAGAGTTCACCCGAACGCGAAGCAATCCTCCCGCCTCCGCCTCCCAAGTGCTGGGGTCACGGGCATGCACCATCACGCCCAGCACACTTCTTTCTTTAAATAAACACAAATAATTCAGTAATACTGGATATAAGCCTGGGTACTAAGCATGGCTTTGGCTTTTTGCTTTTTCTTTGTGCTGTTGTTGGAAGTACTGGGGACTGAACCCAGGGCCTTCACACTGAGCTACATCCCTTCTTATTTTTAATTTTGAGATACGGTCTCACTAAGTTGCTAAATGGCTCAGGATAGGCTCACACTTGAGGCCCTCCTGCTTTGGCCTCTGAAGTGCTGGGATTACAGGTGTGGACTAGCATACTAAAGTGGGCTTGCTTTGGAGGAGTCGCACCAACAGAGGGAGGAAAGCCTTGCAGACAAATGACACACAGAGTGTGCAGTGGGAGGGCATGGGGAGGGCAGAACCTGCACCGGGGGGGTCGCAAGCCAGAGCTGTAAACTGCTGGTCCTTTTAGTAAGATCCAGAAAGGCTGAGGTGACCGCTCTAGTCAGAAGTGTGCAGCCCCCCAACCCTTTTCATGTGCTGGAACTTGACCCGCAAGGTGACGGAAGCGGTAACATCACTAGAGGTCTTGTGGAGGGGATCAGCGCTCTTACAAAAGGCCTGGACACAGCCACGTGAAGACACAGCAGGATGCGGCCCTAGCGGAGACCAGACCTTCACCGGGCATCCACTACGCCTGTGCCTGGGTCTTGCACTTGCCGACCTCCAACACGGACAGCACTCAGTCCCTCCATCCCCAAGTCACCGCCAGCCTAAGGCGCCCATGGAAACTCTCAGGACGAGCTCAGCCAAGGGCTCCACGCCTGGGACTGGCCGACCGCCCACCTTGCTCTGGAGCAGCCAGCTGTTCTCCAGCACGTTGCCCTGAGTTTCTGAGATCTCCAGTGCCTGGGTCAGGAAGACGTCGCAGTTCCGCCCATCTCCCATGAGCATGCAGACGTAGGCCATCAGGTGGTAGAGCCGCGGGAGGAACACGGTGCCCATGGTGTTCTGAGACAGGAGACTCTCCAGGTTCTAGAGAAAAAAACAAAACTAGAATCAGAAAGAAGCCTTGGTTGTTCGGTGGTGGTCCTGGGCATTGAACCCAGGGCCTGCCCTCTTTTATTTTTTATTTTGAGACAGCATCTTGCTAAGTTACTAAGTTGCCCAAGTTGGGGGTCAAACTTGAGATCCTCCTGCCTCAGCCTCCCATGTGCTGAGATTACAGGCCTGTGTCACCTTGCAAGACAGGAAGGAACACAAGAGCTATTTGAAGCAATGATGAGTAAGCCCTGGAACATACGTATTAATTCGTCAATCATTCATTGGCTTCCAAGTAACTTGTGTTCTGCAAGATAAGCAAACATTTCTAATAAGTTTTAATCTGATATTAAATGAGAGATGTCCCATGATCACAACTGGGGCAAGGGTTCTCTCTGTGTGAGTCAGTCTCACTATGTAGTCCAGGATGGCCTTGAACTCAAGACCCTCCTGCCTCAGCCTCGGTGTGTCACCACACCCGACCTCTATTCCCTTCTTGAATTTTAAAAAACTGCAATTTCCTTGAGTTCCAAGACAATGGTTTACTATCTTTGCTGTAATCCCAGTAGCACTGGTTATAGTTTTAACCAATACTGTTTTGGGGATAGGAGAGCTTTACTACTTTTGTTTGTTTTGTGCTTTTGTCTAATTATCTGCTCATTCATCTCCCTGGATTTCCAGGTATTAGGTTGGCCGCAAGTGAGGCACACCTTTACTAGTCTTCAATCCCAATTTATAAGTGCTAATGACAGGCAACTCACTTGTCAAATCCAATGCCTGTGCTATTGGAGAGAAAAAGGAAACTTGGAATAAACTAGGTCATGGGTAAGATGGCAAAAAAATATCTTTCTGAATAACACGGATTTAAACATATGTCAAATTCCTCACAAGTTACCATCTTAAGTGAACGACATTTACTCCATCAGATTAAATCACAAAATAATGTTGCGTATAACCAAAGTAATTTCCATATCTTGAAGGAGATCCAGCTGCCAAGCACAGTGGTGGACATGTGTATTCCCAGCACTTTGGGAGGCTGAGGCAGGAGAATCACAAATTTGAACCTAGCCTGGGCTACTTAGCAGCTGAGCACGGTCTTGTTTAAAAATAAAAAAGAAGAAAAGGCTGGGGATGTAGTTCACTGTGAAGGCTCTTGGTTCAAGCCTTACTATCACAATCAGTCAATGTAGCAATTTCTGAGTAGCAAGGCAATGGGCAGCCTACATTTACTTCTTCCCAATTTTTCAGACAGACTGTTTAAAAACCTCTTATTATCATGCATCACTTCGAGAGAGCCCAGGGCATCCTGGCACACCCTGGGGGATGCTAAGCCCCTGGCTAGAGACAGCACCCTCACCTTGAGCAGCTCCACCCCTCTGTCTTGGGCCTTTTGGCATTGCTCTTCGATTTGCTTTTGGAGGCGGAGCACCTGCCCTTCCATGTACTTCACCACTCCTCCGTAGTAAGCGGTCGTCGGGGTCCTCCGCAACAGGAGACTTTTACCTTTGCCAATGAAGTTGGAAAAGCTGTCCCATTCCTGGAGCCTGGCATACCTGCGCCACCACAGGGGAGGGGAGAAATCAGCGCAGCTCTCGGTGGGGCTGCCTTCCTGACAGATCTCAGCACTGCCATCTCAACCCTATTGGGGGACAGGCTTGAGGCTCAGCTTTTGTGGGCTCCTGGGGCCCAGGTGCCTGAAGATGCCATCCGCACCAGGCGTCCCATCGGTGCCAAGCTCCGGGTCTGCTCCCCGTTCCACTCCCTCCTCCCGCAAGGAGACAGGTCTGCTGGTGGCTTGGGTGGGGGGACAGGGAGGCAGGTGGGGCTTCTTATTAGTCCCCTTCAAGCCCTAGCACTCCTCAGAAGCTAGTCCTGTACCCCTGGGCACCCTGGGGGGGAACAGGTTTTAGGACCTGCCCCCCAGGCAACCTGCACAGGCACCCCCATCCCCAGGGCTGCTCAGGGTCCTCTGTCAAGGGGGACACGGTTTGCATACAGCTGACGTGCATTCTCCAGAGACTTTCAGTCACTTCTAGAGTACTGGGAATACCCAGCGCAGTGCAGGTGCTACTTAAATAGTGCTTGTGCTCTATTGTTCAATGACAAGGAAACACCAGTACCTGCTCGGTACAACTGCAGTGTTTCTCCCCCACAGTAATTTCTGCCTGGCTTTAACTGAGTCCATAGATACAGAGCCCATGGACACAGACAAGGCTGTCTGTGCCGCTGGCTTCTCCTTCATCCCACACCGTGGGGGTGGTGTGTGTGTCAAACGTGTCCGCTGCAGCACACACGACAAGGACGGCGCCCGTTTCCTGACCTATACAATCCTCCGTGACACCTTCAAGCTGTCCCATATACGTGTTATAAAGGACTTTTCTTTCTTTAAAAAAAATGTTTTTCCCCAGAGAACTTTTCAGGATGCAACGCTTTCGCCGGGGAACCAAGTGTTACTGGACAGACCGTTACCAGATCGCCAGGGCCGAGTAAAAGCCCAGGAGGATTCCGCTGTGGAACCTGAGGATGGTGTTGTCCTCGTGGACATTTATGAACTGCAGACACTCCTCGAAGGGTCTGTACACAAAGCCTACGGAGAGAGAAAGAGCTGAGCTCTGCTGGCAGGTGGGAGGTGGTCATCCCTCTGGCCTCAGGGCCTCCTGCCTGGAGCATTTGCCACTGCTTTGTGAATCCGCAGGAACCCAACAGCCACCTCGCTGCACTGCCCTTCGCAGGCTGCAGCCCAGCTGCTGCGGAAGCGAATTGGACACAGCTCCCTAACGCAGATCAGGAGGAACCGAGTTGAAACCATCTGACCTGGCCCAAGTTTAAAGACGAAGCCTTAGCGCGGCCTGTGACTTGTCCCTCGTTCCAGCCTTGTCCCCTTGTTGGTGGCAATCGGTGTTTTACTATCACATCTATAGAAAACAGCTCCTGGTTGGTTCCTCTGGGTTTTTTTTTTTTTTGGGTTTTTTTGAGACAGTCTTGCTGTGTAATTCAGGCTGGCCTCAAACTTGCAGGGACTCCTCCTGCCTCAGCTTCCCAAACGCTGGGATTACAGGCCAGTACCACCACGCCCAGCTGTTCTTCTGGTTTAACATGGATAAAGAGGGCTTGCTACTTGATGACACTTGAAAGCCGTCAGGAAAGAACTTGTTTTCCAAGTCACCAACAGTTACCAGGGCCTAGCACTCTCAGCAGCAGCCGTCCAACCCTTCATCCTAAAGTGTGAAGTCTCTAAGCGTACCCTGCTATGAAGGAAATACCCGTAGTAAAAGGCACCTACTGAGACAGCGCCACCCTCTCACACTTAGCTAAAGTGCTCGGTCCTAACTGTTCTCCTTGAAGCTCTCTTGCCATCTTGGCACCTGTGGCATGGCCCTCAGCCCCCACCACTGGCTCTCCCGCTCCTGGTCCTGCAGTCCACCCAGCCCCCACCACTGCCTCCTCACGCGAGCGCGAGGGCTTTCCACTCTGTGGCTTTGAAATCCCAAAGCCACACGCACCACAATAAAGCATGATGTCCAAACAGAAGGCATAGAAGCACGCCTTGCTGAAAATGTGCTCCTCCTCCTCGGACAGCTGCCACAGTAACTCCAGCATCTGGATCAGTTGCTTGTATCTGTAGGAAAGAAAAAAATGGTGGGGTTAAAAATGTCTAAAGAGAGGAGAGGAGAAGAGCAGGTCCAGGCTGGGTCTCCTCTTGGTCCTGTCCAGCAATTCAAAGCAAAGTACAACTCCCCACCCCCACCCCCACCAGTACCGGAGATTGAACCCAGCGCCTGAGCTCCATCCCCGGCCCTTTCATTTTTTTACTTTTTGGGACAGGGACTTGATAAGTTGCTAAACTGTCCAGGCTAGGTTCACATTTTCAGTCTTCCTGCCTCAGCTTTCCCAGAGTGCTGGCATTCCAGGTGTGCACTGCCATGCCTGGCTCCAAAGACAGCTCATAAACAGACTTCCAAACTGCAAACTCAGCCCAGCTCAGGTACTCGGATCTGCCACTGGCGTTTCTGCCTGTGCTCTATCCTGGTCCTCCAGGCTGGCCTGGACCTTCAGCCCCGAGTGCCCCTCCCTGGCTGTCCCCCTCCTGGAAACTCGCCCCTCTGCCTCCACCGGGCAGGCGGGAGGCCAGATTCCCAGGACGGGTGACTGACTCCCTCTGGTCCTTTGCCACCAGCCAGAGCAGCCCAGGAGAGACGATGCCTGTGGGAGAAGTCTGCTCAAAGGGCATCGCGCCCAGAGGACCTGACTGCCCTTCGGCCAGGGCACAGGGAGCCCAGATCCTGCAATGCGTGGCTTCCTTCCCAGCTGTGGGAACTGCTTTGGGACAAATACCTGTTCCTCAGCAGGAGACAGCCGGAGAGGGTCACAAGCACCAAGCAGTAATTGTTGGGGCTCTGGAGCAGGGCCCACATCTTCTGAGCCGGGAAGCCTGGGAAGAAAAGAATCCCTGGCTGTTGTTCGGCTGCAGTCTCTACATCTTCTTCCCTCTGCTGGCCCTGCCAGCCCTTACCTAACTCGATGGCCAAGTCCAGGTGGCCCATGTTGAACTTGATGTGGCTCAGGGTGCTAGCCACGTAGGCCACCATCTCAACGACCTCGCCGTCCAGGGGGAGCTGGAAGATCCGCTCCAGGGCCTTGAGCTCATAGGTGAACCACATCTCTTGGTAGCCAGACAGCTGGTGAAACAGCGAGTAGTCCAGAAACGCCTTCACAATCTGTCAGGGCAGCCGGGGAGAGGGGCAGGTGGTGGGTGGAGGTCAAAACAGAGGGAAAAGGGAGGTGGTGGGGGGAGGTCAAAACAGAGGGAAAAGGGATTTTCCTTTCTCTTTATGCACTTCTCTGTGTGTGTGTGTGTGTGTGTGTGTGTGTGTGTGTGTGTGTGTTTTCAGTACTGGGGATTAAACCCAGGGCTTTCACACTGAGTTATGGCCCCAGCCCTCCCTTTTGTTTATTTGTTGAGACAGGGCCTCACTCAGTTGCTAAATTGCTAAATTGTCCAGATTGAACTCAAACTTGCAGTCCTCCTGTCTCAGCCTCCCAGAGTGCTGGGATTACAGATGTATGCCACTAGGCTGTTTACTTTGTTATAACAAGTGTTACAAAACACATTACTTTTGTAATTTAACAAAAAAGAAAGGTTAATTTGGTTTGTTTGCTTTTTTAAAAAATGTAAGAAAGGACTGGTTGTAAACCTACTTGGAGATTCAAGAGAAGGTGATCCCTTCTGAAAAAACTCATTAAAAAAGTAAAGTTGTGTCAAAATATAGACGCTTAGAGAATGGGGAGGGAAAAAGAACTCCTCTTAAAGAATCAGATTTGTTTTATATATATCACAATACGTGTAAGTTGCTTTGAACAGTACAAACAGTTGGCTGTGGTGACACCTGCCTGTAATCTTAGCACTTTGGGAGGCTGAGGCAGGAAGGGTACAAGTTTGAGCCTAGCCTGAGCAACTCTGTGAAACCCTGTCTCAAGATAAAAAAATAAAAGAGGGTTGGGAATGTAGTTCAATCCCCAGTATAAAAAAGAAAGAAAAGACAAAGAGAGAAGAAAAGACGAAAGACAAGAACTCCCAGGAGAAACGGACATGCTCAGGCAGGAGCAGTGTGAGGCAGGTGGGTGGTAGAGGCATTGTAGAACAGGGCCTGTTCCCTGTAATTCCTCCATTGCACAGAATACAGTCCACACGTTCTGCTAAAGGCCAGCTGCTGAGTGTTTGTTAAATCACAAAGTTCATCTTAGCAAACGCCCTCTTCCCGGCTCGGAACGTGCTTCAGAGGATGCTACCAAAGAGGGGGGGCCGGAAGTGGTGGGGAGGACATGGAACTATTGGGCAAAAAAGTCCAAGGCTGCAGTCAAGCCCAGGACTTCATAGATGAGAACAAGAGAACAGAGTCTGACGATTTCAGAGTGCGGGGAAGGCTCCCAGCCGGAGAGTACGTGGCTTTCCTGGGGCACCCAGCGGAGGAAGCCCATGTCTCGGGGCTCACCCTGGTCTGTTCTCTTACGCGAGGCTGTCAAACGCCGCAGGGAGCCCTTCCGCTGCTCTTCTGCTTTGTCTCAGCCACCTCCCTCCCTTCCTTCCTTTTTGGTTTTGATTTTTCCTTTTGCAGTACTGAGGATTGAACCCAGGGACTTCACCCTGAGCTACATCTCCAGTCCCTTTTTTAATTTTTCAGTTTGAGACAGGGTCTCATTCAGTTGCTAAGTTGCCCAGACTGGGCTCAAACTTGTAATCCTCCTGCCTCAGCCTCCCAGAGTGCTGGAATTACAGGTGTGTGCCACTATGACTGACTGTTCCTAGCCACCTTGATAACAAATATCTTCCTTCACTGTTTATTTGGACTTTTCCATTTGACCTTGCCCTAGCTCTACCACGGTGGTCAGGAGAACACCCCGGGGTGGAGAAGTAAAGTTCAATCTGGGTTTGTTGAGCATCCAACAGAGTAGAGTGAGGCAGTCAGCGAGATGGTCAGGAGGACCTCCCAGGGGCGGTGACCACTAAACTGTAAGCAGTCGGCAGTAAGGACCAGGGGGTGGACACTCCAGGCAAAGGGGACATCTGATATGAAGACTGGCTTGAACCTTGTGTTGGAGGAACCCAAAGAGGACCAACATGGTGCTACTCGGTGGCCCAGGACTCCGCAGGGACTAACTCTTTATGGTTTTATAAACACTTCTGTGTCTGTCCTTCCCTACTAAAAGGAACTAATGCTGGGGACAGATTCCTGGCTAGGAAGTTAAGCTCTTCCAACACAAGGCTACTTTTTTTTTTAAGACAGGGTCTCTCTAGTTCAGGCTGGCCTTGTACTCACTTATGTAGCCCAGGCCGGCTTCAAACTCATTGCAATCCTCCTGCCTCAGCCTCCTGAGTGCTTATGTTACAGCAGTGTGCCACTATGCCCAGGTTACTTGGCCCTGCTCCTTTATTTATTATTTTTATTTTTTTATTTTTTGTCTTTTTGAGACAGGGTCTCAGTATGCAGTTCAGGCTGACCTTGAGCTCACTTTGTAGCCCAGGCTGGTCTCAAATTTGCAACGATCCACCTGCCTCAGCCTCCCAAGTGCCAGGATTACAGGTGTTCGCCACCACACCCGGCTCGGCTTGCTCCTTTATTATTGACAGCGTTGATTCTAGGAGGAAGTGACTGACCCAGAAGACATTCAAATGTTTATAAAGAAGCTGGGTCACTCTCTTTAGATGAGTTGGGTTTGGCTGAAACATTTCTTGCTCTTATCTCCTGGAGTTCTCATCTAACCAAGGGCTTGTGGCTAGCAACCTTGGCTATTGATTCTCCCAGTTGGTCCCAGGACCTTTGCGGGGTCCCTTAGACCCTGTAACAGAGCACACAAAGTCAAAGCTAGTTTCACAAAGTCAGGGCTTAATTTGTGTCAGGAAAAAGAGAGGCCTTGCAGTGGGCCAAAACAAAAACAGTGGGGGCCCTGCCCAGCTCACCAGCCAAGGTTCTCCCCACACCCCTCCCCTGTTGGTGTCTTCGGGCTATGTTACGGCCCTCTAATATGATACGATTCCTTTCCTAGAAACGTAAGCATGTGGGGAAAATCCAAGTGACAACCGCCAGGGCCAGACTAGTCCTGTCACCATTTGTAAACTGAATTCTCATTTGAAGGAGTTGTGACCTCTTGCTAGTTCTCAGCCTGAGCCAAAATCTTCGACCTGCTTTCTGTTTTAACATGTCGTGATTCTATTTTTTATTTTTTTTTATTTTAAAAATAAAAGGAGGAAAACATTAACAGGCAGACAACCTTTTACAAAATAGCAAAAGAACAGTACAGACAATACAGAGTTACAAACAAAGTGGTAGGAAATTAACAATGCTTCTTGTATTACATATTGATATCTTCAAAGTGGTTTCTCATGAAAACAGATAGAGACATGCAGTATTGATCAGTCAAGGACTCATTGACAGTTTCTTTCAGCAAAGAAATAGAAGACAGTAGATCAACTATGTTAACTATCCTATATATACATACATACAAAATTTCTCCTTCTTTCCCTTCTCTTTTCCCACATCCCAGTTGCCCTTTACCCTTGAGTGCTTTCCTATCATTTCACAATGTCTATCATACCTCCTAGTTTAAATTAACTCTTTCAGGTTTTACACTAGTGAAACAATGCGGTGCTTGCACATGCAGGTCTGATTTATTTCACTTATGAGTTATAGGTAAATGGTCACATTTACCTATAATATAGAATTATAGAATATAGAATCAACTAGTGATTCTATCTTTTAAAAGGGACCTGTCAGCTGCAGGTGCCGCTCAGTGGTAAGTGCGGGCCCAGTGCGCAGGAAGCTTAGTGTTGACCCCACCACCGCCACAAACAGATCACGCAGAGCAGTCCTTCGACATTTTCCCTTTTCACTCTCATTCTCAGAGTATAGCTGTGGAGTTTTTCAGCGACAACATAAGCGATCTTGCTACAGAATGAAGGTAGAAGAATCCACTTACCTTCTATGAAGCCAGATGTTAATATACTTGCAAAAAACAAACAAATGAAAAAAATTGGGGAGGGTAATACTAGAGATTGAACCCAGGGCCTTCGCAATGAGCTACATTCCCAATTTCATTTATTTATTTATTTATTATTTTTGGTTTTTTGAGATAGGGTTGTGCTATGTAGTTCAGGGCTGACCTTGAACTTACTACATAGCCCCGACTGGGCTTGATATTGTGATCCTCCTGCCTCAGCCTCACAAGTGCTGGGATCACAGGCATGCATCACCACACCCAGCTCCTTTATTCTTATTTTTGAAACAGTGTCTCATTAAATCACTGAGTTGCCCGAACTGGGCTGGAACTTGCATTCAACCTACCTCAGCCTCTCAGAATGCTGAGATTACAGGTGTGTACCACCAAGCCCAGCATACTTGCAAAAATGTAACACTATCACTTAACATTTTTTTTTGTTTGTTTGGAGAAATATAGTTTTTTAAAATGAAAAGTTAATTCCATTCATATGTAATGTGTTTATGACTTTTAAAATATTCTTAAAAAATATTCTTAAAATTTCTCAGTTTTTGTTCTATGATAACATCAATAGATATAGCCCATATAAATAAAAGCCACTTGGAATCTTTGGTAAGTTTTAAGAGTGTAGGTGATGCTGGGACAAAATTTTGTTTGTTTGCTTAGTCTTTTGAGACAAAGTCTCACTGTGTAGCCCAGGCTGGCCTCATATACATGGAAATCCTCCTGCCTCAGCCTCCGGAGTGCTGAAATTACAGGCATGAGCCACCATGTCTGGCTAGGGGGCCAACATATTTGAGAACTGCTGGCAAAACTCTCTAGTTAGCTTCTTTTTTCTTTTCATATCCTCATGACTTTGAGTCCCATTTGGCTTTTGCTAGGGTTATCTTTCCAAATTAGATTCAGAAATTTAAAGAGCGGCTTCAGAAACAGCCTACCTGGAAATCATTTTGTGTCTCCAGCGCAGTGTTCACCTGCATCACAGCTGTCAGGTGGGCGTAGTATTTGTGGTAAAAATGATCATTGAGGCTGTAGAGCCTCGACAGCAAGGAGAAGCACGCCACCTGCTGGTAAAGTTCTGCCAGTCTCGCCTTCCTGTTAGAGAAAGTAGAACCAAGGGAACAGGAAGAGGCTGGGCTCATCACAGGGTTAGGGGTGCAGGGTGTGGGCTTGGGGCTCGGCCTGAAACTCGCTGGGTGATGCTTAAGATAGTGCAGATAAAGCAGTGGGTCCGGTAATTGCGAATTAAATGCAGCTATTTTTAAAAGCACACTGGAATCGTGCATCACATTGAGGCTGAGGAAAACTCTAAATGAGCCCATTTTACATATGAGGAAGGTGAAACTCAGAAAGGTTAAGTAACTAACTCCAAGTCACACAGCAAGAAGGCGGTGGTGAGCCCTGTGCACCTCCAGCCCCGGCTACTCCAGTTCATCATATTCTCCACTGCTCAGCTCCGTCCCGTGAGGCCTCCTCTTCACAGAGGAAATGCGCATTTCGCACTGGAGGAGGTGAGTTTCAGTGCTGGAGGTGTGGAAGGGAAGGGCCCAGGGCCTTCTTCAAGAGGGCTTGTGCTCTCAACCGGCCTCTTGACTGCTGAGGTAGCAAAAACTCTCGGTATGGTATGCAGTGGAGATGTGCGGTGGAGATAGAACTCCACTGGGCGGCTGCAGCATTACTAAGCACCCAGCCAAAGAAACCGAGCAGAACCAGAAATTGTTCTCAAAGAGCAGATTTTAAATAAAGATAAGGAGAAAGGAGGAAGTAGAGCTGCTAAAGAAGAACTCGAAGTGCTTTCCATGTAGAATCGATGACATTGGTTCTGCAGGGGAAATTTTCAAGGCTCTAGGAATACATGGACAGTGTAAAATCTCTTCAGTATAGGTCATTCATGCGGACCACAGACATTCTTTTTTTTTTTTTTTTTTTGAGACAAGGTCTCATTTTGAAGTGCAGGCTGGCTTTGAACTCCTGACAGTCCTCCTGCCTCAGCCTCCTGAGTGCTGGGATTACAGGTGGGTGCCACCACACCTCGCAGGACTACAGACATTTTGATGTTAAATGTTGTTTTGGCAAACAGAAGACCACACTTCTAGGGTGTGTTGGTTACTTTTCTCTGTTGCTGAGACAAAATACCCAATGCCCAAAATGAAGGAAGGAAAGGTTTATTTAGCTTATAGTTTGTGGAGGTTTCAGTCCATACTTGGCTTGCTCCGAGGAAGAAGATAACAAAGCAACAAGAGCAAAGCGGGGAATGGCAGCTGAACAACAATGCAGCCAGAGCAAACAGGCAGAATGGCGGCAAGCAGCCTCTTTCCTTCCCTTACATTGTAAACAGGCTACCCCCACCTAAGGGGCGTGTAGCTCTCACATAATCTCCATGCGCTCCTCTTCCACAGGCTCAGGATATATACAAAGTAAGCACCCTGGCTTCCTGCTGAGTCACTTAGCCAAATCTCTAGACTCCCCAAGTTGACACAATGTATCAACCATAACATGGGGGCTGCTTGAAGTGTAGAGAGGGTGAGACCCTCCGCTCTCCCCAGACGTTCCTCTTACCCTGGGGGCGGGCTGGCTTGGACCTGCTGGTTGAAATAATGGCAGTGTTTCTTTTTCTCCAGATGATCATAGAAAACTAGGGAGAGTAAGTTGTGAGGAAAGGCGCGCTTGAGAAGCCTCAGTGCCTTCTTCAGTGTTTTCTTGGCCAGCCCCATCTGGCCCATATTAAAACAGACCTACAGGAAGAGAGGAAAGGGAGAGAGAGAGAAAGAGCAAATGCAAGGACTCTGGACACGGCCGGCAGATTCCACCAAGAACAACTGTGGGGATTCTTATCCAAAAAGCTCATCTGTGGCCCAGAAAGAGAAGCCTCTGTGCTGGGCCTGAGGGGTGTGGGACTGGGGCAGAAAGGAAGGTGAGAGACTAGGGTATGGCTTCATGTGATTGCGCCTCCTGTCTCGGTGGAAAGGCTGGCTTGTTTGCGCTGGTTTCTAGAGGTTGTGACAAGTGTATGTCAGGAAGCTGTCAGCCTGGAGGACAGGGCCAATTAAGCTGCTGCAAGGTGACAGTGAGGGGGTTCAAGTCCAGCACCCTGGGGTCCTGGAGTCTTGGAGAGGAACGGCAGGGACCAGGAGGAAAATACAGAAAGGGCAACTTCTAGGGAAAAGACCAAGGAAAATAACTGATTTATTTATGCTTTTTTTTCTTCCAGTACTGGGGACTGAACCCAGGGCCTTTGCAATGAGCTACATCCCCAGTCCTTTTTATTCTTTTTATGGGGGTGGGGGAACTCTCACTGAGTTGCTGAATTGCCTGTGCTAGGCTTGAACTTGTGACCCTCCTGCCTCAGCCTCCCAGAGTTCTAGGATTATAGGCATGCACCACCATGGCCAGCTAATTCATGTCATGCCTTTCATGGTTTCTTACCTGACCTTTGAGGGTATAAAAAGTAGCCAACTCAAAAGTCTTACTCCAAGATTTTTTCTTCCTGAGTATTTTCAGCAGCCTGTGTCCCTCATTCAAATGCACATATGCCTGCAATCAGGAGAGGAGAAAAGTATTGCGTAGGCAGGAACCTGGGCCACAAGGGGCAGCGGACCAAGGCTCTATTGAAGGAAGGGAAGCGGGAGCCAGCCCAGATACCACCTCTCCCTCTATCAGTGCTGCGGAGCAGAAAGGGCCTGCAAATAAATTCTAGACAGGAGCAGAAGGAGGAAGCTCCTGACTGCATGCCTTCCCTGTCTGCTGGATTGCGCCATCAAGAGGATGAATCTTCAATTCTCACTTCTCCGTGTGCTCTCACAGAAGTTGCCTTACAAGAAGCTCCCCCTGGGCAACTTCCTCCTCTCAGCAATGCCATCCCCAGCCTCGCATCACCAACAGGGTATCCACCGCTCTGAGAGCATCTCCACATCCATGAGAAGCAGGTCTCCACTTTGGGATGAGTTATGAAGCACCCCCAGTTCCTTTGCCAGAGACATCTTCTGGAGGCAGAAGAGGAAGGTGAGACTCCGAGCAACTGTGACAGTTAAGCTGCACTGTCGACTGGCTGGGGAGCTGCCTGCTGGATTAGCACAGCATGCTCCAGGGTGTGCCTGGGTGTATCATGGGGCCGTGACCTTGGGGACTGTATTTGGTCCCTAGCCCCTTGCTCTCTGGCATTGCTCCTCAGCTCTGCTTCCTGAGAAGTGTCCATCAGCTGAGCAGTGTCCCAGCTGTCCTCTGCCAGGCCCTTCTGCCTTGATGTCCCTGCCTTGGAGCCAGCTGACCATGGACTGAATGCCCTAAAACCGTGAGTAAAAAGAAACCCTTCCTCCTTCTGAGTATTTGATCCATGCAATGAAAAGCTGAGTAATACAGCGACTCTCTTCACTTCATCCTTAGGCAGATGGATCTTCGGACATGTGAACACCAAGACAGATCAGACTTGGTTAAATGAAGGTGAGGCCATAGATCTGGGTCTCCTGCAGCCGTGAGGGAGACAGGAAGGGAAGGCATGATGTGCTGGCCTCACCCAGTCCAATCAGATTTCCTCTAGTGGGAGATAAGGAACAAGTGACGTATTCTGGGATGTGGTGCTGGGGCTGTGCTCTGAATTACTGTCTTCCTGACCATTCACGGCTCCTTGTAGAGCCAAGTGAAGCATGCACAGGTTTTAGGAAGCTCGCCCCCAGGGCTACCTGAACTTCCCCATCCTAACACTCATTGGCCACATCCCCGCCACTAGGCTGAATATATGTGCAGAGAACAGAGGCTGACTGACATATTAAAAAGGTAAAAAACATTTCTCTTTTTAGCATGGGGAAGCTGAACCCAGAGCCTTTGCACCCAGCTACATCCCAGCCTTTTTTCTTTTCTTTTCTTGGTCTTTTTGAGACAGGGTGTCACTATGCAATTCAGGCTGGCCTTGAGCTCACTTTGTAGCCCAGGCTGGTCTTGAACTCACAACAATCCTCCTGCCTCAGCCACCCAAGTGCTGGGATTATAGGTGTGCGAAACCATGCCTGGCTTTTTTTTTTTTTTTTTTTTTTGAGACAGAGTCTCACCAAGCTGTGTAGGTTGGCCTTGAACTCACGATCCTCCTGTCTCAGACTCCCATGTGTTGGGATTACAGTTTTGCACCAGCACGACTATTTACATTTCATATAAATTGAAGGTACATGATGCTGCCGTGCGTAGCAACAGCGGTAACACAGGGACCAGAGCTGGGGTGTGGCCAAGGCTTGGACACGGCCAGCTGGCCTGTGAAACTGGCTGGAGTTAGAGGAAGTGAGCCACGACAGGCATTTCCTCAAGTACTTCCTGGAAATTAGTGCAGCCAGCTGCTCGCTTCATGAAAGCAATTTAAAATCAAGTCCGTTTGCGAAATGTAGTCTACCTCAGCCTCATCTGACCCTTCCCTTTCTCTGCCTCCTGGGGGACATTTCCATAGGCCAACACCTCCAAGGCTTCATCCCCCTTGCCTTGCTCTATTCTGCTCAGGACTGCCTAAGACACTGACCATTGTTCTTCTTATCCATTATGTGTATCAAATCTTCCCAGGCTTAGGGGCCTGTGGCCCTGGGACCTTCCTTACACTACCACAGGCACTTCAGCAGGCAGAAGGTATTCCTACGTGTGATCATCCCGCATGAATTGCACGACAATGAACGTGGGTGAGCTCCCGGGGGGATGATGGGAACCAAGCCACACATGCAGCTCCTGGAAGACCTACAGGTATTTTATGCCCACAGGTATTTTGGGACCACAGGGCAAAGGCCCCTGGGATGTCAATGAGGAAGGCTATGCTGCCACTGAAGCACTGCCACCCAGAGTCCCCTCTGTGACACTTTGGGAATGAGAAAGGACCCCGCGCCTCCCATGCGGGTGGACAGTTCACTGCAAAGCTCTAAAGGTGGAGTATAGCAAATGATGTATGGAGCTTGCTGCAGTGTGTTCCAGTGCTCTTTTCTCCATGTTATCCTTTCCTGTCTGAGCAATGTGCTTTTCTTTGTCTTTGTCTTTCTCTCTTTCTTTCTTTCTGTGGTGCTGGGGATTGAACCCACAGCCTTGTGCATGCAAGGCAAGAGCTATACCACTGAGTCACATTCCCAGCCCCCATTTTTAAAAAAATTTTTGTGACGAGGTCTCACTGTGTAGTCCAGGTTGGCCTCGAACTCACGGTGAACCTTCTGCCTCGGCTTCCCAAGTGCTAGGATTATAGGCGTGAACCACTAGACCTGGCCAGCAATGTGGTTTTCAAAGGAAAGGGTAGTTGGCAAGACTTGGGGACACAAAGTAATCAAAAGGCACCCAGGCCCTCCCCTTCCAGTTCTGTGGTCCGTAAATTTTCTCTAGGCAAGAAGAGGGTTGGGGAGAGGCAGCTTACCATGTAGTTATCACCTAGGAGGAGATAGGCAGATGTGATCTCTAGGAAGTAATACAAGGCCTTGTGGTTTTCTTCCAGAGCCACAAAGTGCTGGGCCAGAGGCAGGATGACGATGGTGAGGACCTCCTCACACTGGCAGGGCTTCTGAGGGAGGAGTTGTTCCTCATCTTCCTTCATTTTGGTAATCACGGTGTCAAAGAACTCCAAGATCTTGTCTTTTATTTCCTCAGGACTGTGCAAATGCAGAAACCAATAGAGACATATAAGCAAGAGATATGGCATAGCTTCTGACGTGAAAACAACTTTCAAAACTAATAAGTGCAAAAGCATAACCCAGATGTAGGCACAACCACCCAAACCCGCCCCGCCCGACCCTGCCACTTCCTACAGCGGCCGAGAGCCCAAAGGGACTGAGCGGCGATGCGATGACAGCTGCTCGTGCTCGGTCTCCCAGGCACACGTGCCCATACCTGAGATCTCCAGGGAACAACTCGGATTTCTCTTGAAGCTCTGGCTTAGAAGCAGGAATCTCTTCTTTACCTAGAGAATAAGAAGATGAATGAGTTGTGTGGGTCCTGGAAGTGTTCCCCATGGGAGAGAGGGTCTGTGTTCCTTTTTCACTGTACGGGGTTGTCATGCCAACCAACAACTATGCATCGCAGTCCTCACTGCCCATCTCGCAAATCAGCGGTGCAAGATATCACCTCTAGGTCGAGATGGTTCTATGCCCCCTCCACCCTTCTTCTTCCGCAGGAAAGCAATTAATTCAGAGGATGGAGGGACAGCAAAGCCACAAGTTGGAGGAGCTGAGTGCCTGACTACCCACGAAAGGCATCTGTCCAAACTTTCCCTGGATCTTCTCCTGAGCAGGAAATAAACTGTCATTCTCTTGTGTCGAGCCACTGAGAGGCAGGGCTCGTAGAGCTGATAACATTCCCCTCACTCGTTTACCCTGCAGTAACTAAAACAGCGCTTAGCAATCCTGAAGAAAGTGACACCAGTTTCTAGTGGGAAAATGGAGATATTGAAATGAAATACCCCAAAAGGCTAAAGAAAGCAGAGAATTACTGTTCATTTATATAGTCTTAATAATGTAAAGACATTGATAAGAATATAATAATATAGGGGGGAGTAGGGCATATTGGCCCATGTCTGTAGGCCTAGATACTCAGGAGGCTGAAGCAGGAGGATCTCCCTTAACCCAAGTTCAAGGTCAGCCTGGGAAGCATAGTGAGACCCTCTCTCAAGGAAGGAGGAGAAGGAATATATAGATAGGGAAGTGCTGAGGAATGGTATAACAGAGTGATATCCTCATTTACCATAGCAAGAAGAAAACAGATAATGTCAAAATTTGATTTTTACATGTTGGTAATCACAGCTACTTGGGAGGAGGAAGCAGGAGGATCACAAGTTCAAAGCCAGCCGGGGCAACATAGAGTATGTTTTAAAAAAAGAGAGAGGGGGTCTAGGAATGTAGCTCAGATTAGAGCCCTTGCCTAGCATATATGACATCCAATATAGCCAAAAAAGATTTTTTTTTGAAATAAAGCAGTATTTACATGCCACTTAATATACGAACATGATGCCTAAAGATCAGCTAAATTTAAAATGTTTGCCTCTGAGAACTACTGAAGGTGATGTAGGTGATGATCATGCAATTAGTGTCTTATGGTAAAGCTTTTAGAATGTGTGTGTGCACGCACACGCACATGTTTGGAGACAGGTCTCACTCTGTAGCCTAGGATGGTCTTGAACTTGAAGCAATCCTCCTGACTCAGCCTCCCCAGTGCTGGGATTACAGGCGCACACCACCACACCTGGCCTTTTTAATTTGCTTATTTAAATCTTGAAGTTTGTCTAGTGGACAGCCTTTGAACAATGATAAATTCCAGTTGGGATAATAGCAAGACCCTGCCCTTGGAGACATCTGGCCCTGTGTGCCCCAGAGCTAGGCTGCCGAGGCCTGTGGCAGGATCCAAAAACAATTTTGATGACCCTCACCAGCCCGTCCAAGACTGGCCTGTCTGCTGGGTTCCAGCTTATTACATTTCCCAAAATAAAACAAGGCTCTCACTAGCCCTGGCAGTTCTCTCCCATGCATATGCTTTTTGCTCTGGGACCTGTTTCACACTTGAGCCCCAGAGTCAGAACTTTGCTGTTCCTCCAAGTGGGACATCACTCCCTTTCCCTGTCCCTGGGGTCCCGTCCCCTGCTCTGCATTGAAACCTGTGCACTGTGGCTCTGCCTGATCCCACCCCACTCAGCCAAGGCCCCTTGTCCCTGAAGCCCTCCCTCCAGACGGCTTCTGGGTGAGACCCCGCCGATACTGAGTGGCAGGTGCCCGCCAGGCCCTCCCTTCTCCTGGGGCCTGTGATGCCCATGTCTGGAATGCTTTGTGCCCAGGCCCTCAGGGTCTGGACCCACGCCTAGCTCTGGGCCCCTGGGCGCCCTGGGAATAGTTGCGATTCCTTAGGAACCCGGAGAGTTTACGTTGGTAACTGTGGGAATTAGCCAGCTGCTTCATGGTGGCCATGTCCAGTTTGTTGAGCCAAATATCCACTGCAAAGTGGTGGTAGGGAACGAAGTCGGTGCCCCTGCAGTGGTCACATCTGCGGGCATTTTCCTCCAGGAAGTGGGCACATTTCAAATGCATGGCTTTCTTCTCGTCCTTGAGCCACAGCTCGTAGGCGGTTTTCTGCATCATAGGCCTACGGAATCGGATGATGTGGCACTGGATCACCTCATTGCGCAGTTCCTGGAACTCATCATCTTTGTCTTTGTCATCTGGAAGGAACAGGTAGGGCTGTTTGGCCAGGCAGTGGGCAACCCATCAGCTCCCGCTGCCTAAGGCACCTCAGCACATGCGGCTCACTTCCGGGGGCTACTCACCCGACCCGTCGCGGGACTGCAGGGCGGAGGAACGGTGGTGCACCTCGAAGGAGGCGTCCTGCTGCTGGGCCAGTCGGAGGTCCCTGCCGGTCTGGAAACAATCAAAGACATCATCTTCCACCAACGTGGTAAGGGCCTCAATCATCATCTTCATGTCCCAGCAAGGGAGGATCTCGAACAGCAGCTCCGTGGTGCAGGTCAGGCCCGTGATCGCTGCGCATCTCACCAGCATCTGGTGGGAGAGGCTCATGCTGTCCAGCTGGATCAGGGAGACCTCTGCAGGGGGAGCCACACACAGGGACCCGGTTATGGGTGCTCATCACAACCAAACCCCTTTGTAGTCCTCGTGTGCAGAAACCTAGCGAAGTGTGATTCTCACTCACAGACATTGCTTATGCCAGGATTACAGAAGGTGCATAGGCTACAGCCTAGAAACACGCAGGGGGCTGGGGTTATAGCTCAGCAGCACAAGCGCCCGCCTGGGAAATGCAAGGTCCTGAGTTTGATCCCCAGTACCAAAAGAAATAAAGAAAGAAAGGAAGAAAGAAAGAAAGACAGACACAGGACAAGAATGAGATTGATTTAAAAGACACTGAGATTTTGTGTGAACGTGTGACAAGGGGCTGCTGTGAGGCACACACCTGTAATCTCAGCACTCTGGGAGGGAAGCTGCTCAACATAGGGAGAACCTGTGTTAAAATTAAAAAGGATTTGGAATGGAGATCATTGTGAAAGCCCTGGGTTCAATCCCTAGATGCAGAGAGAGAGAGAGAGAGGGAGAGAGAGAGAGAGAGGCAAATTGTGACAAGGTAGGAGGTGAGAGAAAGGCCATGTCAGGCCTGCTGTCTTTGTCATTTTCCCACAGATGAGACATAATACCTGATACCCACAACTTCAAGGAGAAGAGGTCTATTTTGTTTCATGGTCTCAGAGGGTTTGGTACATGGTCGGCCGGCTCCAAGATGGAAATGGCATGGTAAAAGAGCACAGCAGAGGAGAGCTGCTCAACCCATAGTGGACAGGAAGCAGAGAGAACAGAGGAGCCAGGGACCCCAGTGACCACCTCCAACTAGCCCCACCTCTTCAGAGCACCCTCAGCCATGAGTTCATTGATCAATGAACCAATGGTGAGTATAGCATCCTGCAATCTAAGCTCCTTCCAAACACATGAGGCTTTGAGGTTTCATTCTACATCTAAAACACCTGCCATTCTATTTTTTTGTTTGTTGGTTTGGTTTGAGACAGGATCTTGCTATACAGCCAGGCTGGCCTCAGGATCAAGGTGAGCCTCTTATCTTAGCTTGCTAAGTGCTGAGATTACAGGTGTGCACAACTACACCTGGAAACCATCTGCCATACCTGTTCTTTTCTGAATTCTGCAGCTGGGCCTCTCTAGCTTCTTCACTGGCTTGGTTTTTCCTAGAAATTCTCAGTAATGAAGGTTTTCTCTATCTGCTCCAGGGATTCATTTATTCTCATGACATACATTATTTCTCTATGGAATAACCAACTCACAGAATTCATGGCTTCTATCCCAACATCTCACCTGTTTCAGTATCAAGCCTCACTTGGTGGTCCTTCCACTAGAGACAAAACGTCAACTTCTCAAATTGTCTGAAGAGCACAGCAGAAGCTAAGCTAAGCTTGCCCACCTTCCGGCTGTGGAAGGCAGTGGATGAAATGGAAGTGACACTCACTGGAAGCCACAGAGCCTTCAGCTGGCCCCAGGCCACCCCTATGAATGTTTAAAGTTACTTCTGGCTGGCATGGATTGAGGCTGGAGGCACACCAGAGAACTGCTTTAAAATCATTTTCTTTCCAAGTATAATAATCCATCTCTGGCTTATTATTTCTTTCTTATAAAATTAGATGGCAGAAAATGTCTCAGTACTGTATTTGATTTGTGTGGTTCCACCCCACCCCACATCCCGCATTTCGGTTTCTGTTTCATCAGAAACGTGCTACACCTTGCTATTTTACCAACGGAATAAACCTTGGCTCAACTTGAACCCCAGAACAGGTACAAGGGGAGAGAGGACCCTAATTAGAAAGAGAAAAATCAGCCTTGGATGATGCCTTCCCGTTACCCGGGACAGTTCAGCACCAAAGAGCCTAGGAGTTCCCCTTCCTCCTTCGACAGCCATCCTAGAGGAAGCAGAAGTGCACCTGAGTAGAGAATGAATAGACCAGCTCACATTTTTCAAATTTTCTTTACCTTTTAATGACGTTGGGAGTGACAAGTTTTTCAGTCTGACACCACTTGCGAGGTTACAGGTTACATCATTTCCCTCCTCCGCATTAAAATATATTTTTAATTCATCTGTTGGCTTAATGAAACTCTCTATGGGGAGATAAAAGGGAAGAAAGATCAAGAGCTGTCGTCTTTGTCTTCCAGAGCCTATTTTCTGATAAACATCGAGGAAGGTTTCTTGTGAGAAAGAGTGACCAGAGGTGCGTGTTGGTGCACCAAATATTCCAGAATACCTTGTTTCAAGTAAAACTGATACACAAAAATCAAACGTACTAAAAAATATTTGACTCCCCCTAGCCCCTCACCCCAAAACAAGAATAAGTACCATTGGTGTCTTCCAGAGTACAAACAGTTTTGCAAAAATTGAATTTTCAGTCCACTTAGGCTATATCTCATAGCATTCAGTAACTCGTACTTGGATCCAGGCTTGTTACCCTGGTGCCCTATTGTACAGTTTGTCCCCGACTCATGAACACTTGAGTTGCGAACTTTCACAGATTGGAACAGACCTTACGTTACACAGATGTGAACGATCACATAAGTAGCTCACGTGTCTGCCACACACTGTCACCATTGTGCTGCTGTGTGCTTACTGCACAGTGCGATAGTGTACAGTAGTACAGCGCTCACTCAGAGCCCAGGATGTCCGGAAGCAAGAGAGAAGCAGTGGTGATGTGGAGGTGTGGTTTTTTTATGTTTGTATCAAAGCAGCATTTAGAAGAGCCCAGAGACAGCAAAGGGAAGTCCACGTGAGAAGCTACACATCTGAGTATCGAGAAGGGAGCTTGTGTAGAACCAGGCCAAGGGGGTGATGGAGTTGGGGGAGCCATCCCCTGAGGCCACAGGGCCTAGCAAGATAGAAGGGAAACAAGAGCGACACGAACGGTGCATTCACCAGGCTGGGAAATACAGGAGGTGCAATTTTGGAGAAAGGATAATACATTAGGTTTTAGATGTGTCAAGTTTGATGGGGGTCTGTGAGATCATCTAATGGGAAATTGGGAATAAGGGTCTGAAATTGAGAATGAGATTAGGGTTGGAGATCAGACACACACAAACATATACACACACACATGGCCAGGGAAAAGATAATACATGAAAATAAGAGTTTTAAGTAGGGGAAACATCTAGTTTTATATAAAAGTACTCATAACATACACAGAATAAATGTTTGTTGAGTGAGTAAACAAATGTATAAAATGTAGGAATGGTATTATTCTGCAGCATTTATATTTACATATTTCCTTCTCTTAATTAATTAGCGAATATATTATTATAATGGAATTATTTAACCTGAAAGTAATCATCACAGCAGTCTTTGTCTCTTTAATGATCCATTCCCATCCTTAAAAGTACTTTGAAATTCTGGTGAGCTACTGCCGCACCCCCCCCCACAAGCTTGGGACCAGACAGAAACCCAGACAGCTTTAGGGGCCTGGGGTCCTCTCCCTGCCCCTCCCCTCCTCCCCCCTTCCCCTGTCGGAGCTGAGCTGCACCTCTGACAGCTTCAGGAACTCAGGTGAGCTGCTGCCGGTCCCACACACAAGCTTGGCACCAGGCAGAAACCTGGACAGCGGTGGGGCTGAATCCAGGACATCTTCAGGGAGCCCGGTGAGGTGCGGCGATGCCTCCCTGACCAGTGTGCAAGGCACTTGGAACCCCAGGCACTCTGTGGGGCCTCAGGGGCTACTGGCCACACCCATAGTGTGTCTGGATGCCTCAGGAACTACTGGCCACACCCATAGTGTATCTGGAGGGGCTGGGCTGAATGCCAGACACCTTTAAGAACCCTGGTGAGCCACTCTGGTGCTTCCCCCACTAGTGTGTGAGGCATGTGGAGCCCTGGACAACTTCTGGGGCCTTGGTGGTCACTGCCAGAACAACTCACAGCCCTCCTGGGAGCTCAGCTGAAACCTCAGGGAGCCCACCCTCACCCTCCCCCACTTCCAGTATGGGAAGCAGGCTCTATCCTGGGCAATATCTGAAGCCTCAGTAAACACGACCTGCATCCCCCTAACTCTTGTGGAAGCTGGGCTGAACCCCAGACAGTCTCAGGAACTCTAGCGAGCTTCCCTGCCCCTTCCCACACAAGCCTAAGAGCCAACTGAATGCAAGAAATGTCGGGAGCATCTGGGACCTTACCTTGCCACCACTCACCAGCACAGGAGCTACACTGAGCACTGAAGACTGGGATCTGAAGCGCTGAAGACTGGGGATCTGAAGACTCTCTCCCTGCCACTCACACACAATCAGGAGAGTGAGGCTGCACTCCAGGAAGCCTCTGGATCTTCAAAAATGACAAAACGAAGGAGCAAAATGCAATCCCAGACCTCCACATCACCCAAAACAAGTCCAGGAGACATCAACACAGAAGAGCCTGGAAGTCATACACCTGAAATTTCTGAAATGATAGCAACTGAAGTAAAGAAACAATTCCATTAAGCCATAGATGACATCAGATCAGAAATAATGTCTCAGGTGAGAAAAGAAACGACAACAATAATGAAAGAAATGTTTAGCATATCCAAAGATGACATAGACAGGAAAACAGAAGAGCATAGACAACTCATGGAAACCTTCAGGGAACAATATAGAAAAGAACTTGGGGCTGGGGATTTAGCTCAGCGGCACAGCGCCTGCCTGGCAAGTGCAAGGTCGTGAGTTCAGTTCCTGGTACCGGAAAAAGACCAAAAACAAACAAACAAACAAAAAAAAAAAAAAAAGAAAAAAAGAAAAGAAAAGAACTAGAAGGTATGAAACAGATGCAAACAGATATTCAGGAAATTAAAAATTCCATTGAAAGCTTGCAAAACTGCCTAAATGAAGCTGAAGGTAGACTTTCAGACCTTGAAGTCAGCACTGCCACTAATGAATGTGAAAAGAGGGATCTCTTAAAAACAACAAGGAACCAGGAAATAACAATTCAACAACTGCAGGACAAGGCAAAGAAAAACAATGTCAGGGTAATAGGTATTAATGAAACAGCAAGTGTCAACACAAATGACAGAAAAAAGACTATTTGCAGAAATAATAGCATAAAATTTCCCAGGCATGGAAAAAGAACTGGACATCCAGATAAGTGATGTGTATAGAATCATAACCAAAGTAAATCTACACCCAGACATATAGTGATCAAGATCCTGGAAACTCAACAAATGCTCAAAATATTAAAAGCTGTTAGAGAAAAGAAAGAGATCATGTATAAAGGTAAACCTCTCAGAATCACGGCAGACTTCTCAACACAAACCATCAAGGCAAGAAGAGCTTGGAGTGAAGTATTTCAGGTACTGAAAGAAAACAATTTCCAACCCAGATTGACATACCCTGCAAAATTATCTTTCAAATTTAATGGAGAAATAAGATATTTTCATGATAAAGAACAACTGAAGATATTCATGAGTGCCAAGCCAATTCTACAAAGAGTACTAAAAGATATTCTAGAAAGAGATAAAACAGACTACAACTTCAAGAACAACAACAGAAAGGAACCACCAAGCACAGCAAACAATTAAACAGAGGGGAAAAGGAGGATCCAACAGCAGGAAAATAGCATGATGAAGATAAGCCAGTACATATCAGTTATAACATTATTATAACTAAAGTAAATGGTCTCAATGCACCAAGCAAAAGAAGCAGACTAGCGGAGTGGATTACCAAACAAAACCCAACTATATGCTGTATACAAGAAGCACATTTAACTCAAAAGGAAATTCATAGACTGAAAATTAAAGGATGGAAAATAATACTCCATGCAATAGGAACCCAGAAAAAGGCGGGGGTAGCTATTCTGTTTGCAGACAATGTGAACTTCAAACCAAGAGCAATCAAAAGAGATAAAGAAGGTCACTACATACTTGTGAGGGAGAAGATTCAAGAGGAAGAGATAACAATTGTAAACATCTGTGCACCAAATATAGGAGAACCCACCTATATAAGACAAATTCTAACAGACATGAAAAATGAAATAAATAGCAACACAATCATAACAGGGGACTTTAACACACTATTGTCGCAAAGAGATAGATCAACTAGACAAAAAATTGGGAAAGAAATAACAGAACTTAACCAAACTTGTGAACATATGGATGTAGTAGAGCTTTACAGAGTGTTCCACCCAACAGCATCAGAATATACATTCTTCTCAGCTGCACATGGGATATTCTCTAAAATAGACCATATACTAGTACATAGAACATGTTTAAGTACATGCAAAGGAACTGAAATTATCTCATGTATACTATCAGACCATAGTGCAATGAAATTGGAAATTAATGACAAAAGAAAACACAAAAACTCCATACACAGTTGGAAATTAAATAACATTCTCCTGAACAACCAATGGGTCACAGATGAAATAAAGTAGAGAGATTAAACACTATTTACAATCAAAAGAAAATGGAGATACAACCTACAGGAACCTGTGGGATGAAATGAAAGCAGTCCTCAGAGGGAAATTTATAATAGTGAAGTCCCACCTTAGGAAAGCAGAACAAGCACAAATAAATAATCTTATGCTGCACCTCAAGTTCCTAGAAAAAGAAGAGCAAGTCAAACCCAGAGTCCAAAGAAGGCAGGAAATTATAAAGCTCAGAGCAGAAATTAACACAATGGAGACTAAAGAAACAATACAAATAATTAATTAATCAAAGAGTTGGTTTTTTGAAAGAATAAATAAAATAGATAAACCCCTAGCCAACCTTATTAAAAAAGGAAAGAAAAAACTGAAATACACATAACAAGGAATGAAAGGGGTGAAATCACTACAGATCCTAAAGAAATTCAGAAGATCAATACCTACTTTGAAAGTCTTTACTCTCATAGGATGGAAAGCACAGAGGAAATGGACAGATTTCAAGATACATATGAATTACCAAACAGAATGAAAAAGATATAAAAATTCTGAATAACTCAATATCAGCCAGTGAAACTGAGAATGTGATTAAAAACTTGCCAGTGAAGAAAAGCCCAGATCCAGATGGATTCACAGCTGAATTTTACAAGCAATTTAGGGAAAATTTAATACCAATTCTTCTCAAACTCTTTAATGAAATTGAAAGGGAATGAATTCTCCCCAGCTCATTCCTGGAGGCAAGTATTATCCTGATACCAAAACCAGAGAAAGATCCAACCAAAAAAGAGAACTACAGGCCAATCTCCCTAATGAATATAGATGCAAAAATTCTCAATAAAATAGTAGCAAACAGAATACAACAAGTCATCATGAAGATTATACACCACAACCAAGTGGGATTCATACCAGGAATGCAAGGATCATTCAATATACGCAAATCAATTAATGTAATACACCACGTCAATAGAGCCAAGGACAAAAATCACATGATCATCCCCATCAATGCAGAAAAAGCCTTCGATAAAGTCCAACATTCATTCATGACGAAAACCCTACAGAAAATAGGAATAGATGGCCTTTACCTCAAGCTGATCAAAGCCATCTACGATAAACCAACAGCTAACATCATACTAAAAGATCAAAAATTGAAAGCTTTCACTTTAAAATCAGGAACAAGACAAGGATGTTCACTGTCGCCACTTCTATTCCATATAGTTCTGGAAATATTGGCTAGAGCAATTAGACAAGAGAGAGAAATAAAAGGAATAAGGATAGGAAAGGAAGAAGTGAAATTATAATTATTCACAGATGACATGATACTCTACATAGACTATCCCAAAAACTCCACCAAAAGGCTCATGGATTTAATCAACAAATCCAGTAGCATAGCTGGATACAAAGTTAACACTCAAAAATCAATACCATTCCTGTACACAAGTAACAAACAGACTGAGAGAGAAATTAGGGAAACCACACCTCCCACAATAGCATCTAAAAAGATGAAATACTTAGTAATCAATCTAAAAAAAGGAGTAAAATATCTATACAGTGAAAATTATAGTACTTTGAAAAAAGAGATCGAAGAGGATATCAGAAAATGGAAAGATATTCCTTGCTCATGGATAGGAAGAACCAACACTGTGAAAATGGCCATACTCCCAAAATTGTTGTATAGATTCAAAGCAATCCCAATTAAAATACCATTGATATACCTCACAGATCTAGAGAAAACATTCCTAAAGTTCGTCTGGAACCAGAAGAGGCCTAGAATAGCAAAAGCAACCTTGGGAAACAAAGGAAAGGCAGGAGGCATCACAATTTTTGACTTAAAATTGTATTACAAAGTTACTGTGATAAAATCAGCATGGTACTGGCACAAAAACAGACCTGAAGATCAATGGAACAGATTAGAAGATACAGATACAACTACCAACACAGTCACCTTATCTTCAACAAAGGGGCCAAAAATGTTCAATGGAAGGAAGGTAGCTTCTTTAATAAATGGTGTTGAAAAAAACTGGCTTTCCACATGCTGAAGATTAAAACTAGACCCATGTCTTTCACCATGCACTAAATTAAAGTCAAAATGGATCAAAGATCTAAATATTAAAACAGAAACACTAAATTTACTGGAAGAGAAAGTAGGTAAAAATCTTGACAACATTAGGGCAGGCAGAGAGTTCATGAACAAAAACCAAACTGCATGTGAAATACTTCAAAGACTCAACAACTGGGATCTCATCTTATTGAAAAGTTTTTGCACATTTAAAGGAATCACTAATAAAGTAAAAAGGAAATGCATGAATTGGGAAAAAATTTTAGCCAACTGCCCCTCAGACAAAGGACTTCTATTTAGGTCATATGAAGAATTAAAAAAAAATCAGGCCCCCCAAATTTAAAGACCCAATCCAAAAATGGGCATCTGAGATGAATACACACTTCTCTAATGAACAGATACTAATGGCAAAGAAATACATGAAAAAATGTTCAACGTCATTGGTCATTGGAGAAATGCAAATTAAAACAACACTGAGATTCTATTTCATCCCAGAAAGAATGGCTATCATCAAGAAATCAACCAATAACAAATGCTCAAGAGGCTGTGGGGAGAAAGAAACCCTACTTCACTGCTGGTAGGAGTGTAGACTGGTGAAACCACTGTGGAAATCAATTTGGAGATTCCTCACAAAACTAGGATTAGAAGTCCCATTTAACCCAGCTATTCCCCTTCTGAGTATTTTCCCAGAAGTATTAAAGACATCATACCACAGCAATATATATGCACCCATGTTTATAGAAGCACAATTTGTTATAGCTAAATCTTGGAAACAACCCAGATGCCTATCCACTGAGGAATGGATCCACTGAGGAAAAAAGATGTGGTATTTTTATACAATGGAGTATTACTCAGCTATTAAAAAAGATAATCTTGAGGCTTTTGTAGGTAAATGGATGCAACTAGAGACCATACTCATAAGTGAAAAAAATCAGACCCAGATGGGTAAACATCATATTGTCTCCTTGGAGTAGGAACCTGAAAGACTAGGTAAAACTCAAAATGTACAATAGATGATAGGAAAGGTAAAAAAAAGTGGCTCAAAGGAAGGAACAACTGGGATGAGTGAAAGAAAAAAGAACGACTGGGATAAGGGAATGCAAAATATAAATATATATGAATAACTGCGATAACTGTATATCTGAAGGTGTATTGAAAGGAACAGTTAATGATTACAATTTTTTATGTTCTGATCAATTGTGCATGCTTGTGTCTGGTGGTCTGAGCAACTGATTTGAAGGTAACAATATGTAAGGGAATTACAATGGTGAACTCCTACCATCCTGTCTAGTGAAACTCTGTATTGTCTCTACTGTTTTATCAAAGAATTATTTTCTTATTCCCTATAATGGTTTGAGCAGTCTTTCATTGTTTGTTTGTTTGTTTGTTTTTTGGTTTTGGTTTTTTTCTGGTACTGGGAATCGAACTCACACTTTGAGCTTGCCAGGCAGGCGCTGTGCCACTGAGCTAAATCCCCAGCCCCAGTCTTTCATTCTTGCACCTGGTAATCTGAGCCATGTAGTTGAGGATGGCAATGTGTAGTATAACAACCATTGTTGATTCATATTACTTTGTCTTGAGACTGTGTCACTTTGAATGTTCTTGCTTTGATTTGTTTATGTTTGCAATACTGTTATGCTGCTACTGTCCTATTTCTTTGTCTGTTTCCCATTTACTACTCTCTTTAAAATTAAAAAAATTTTTAAAAGTACTTTGGTCACAGAAAGCTTTTTCTGTTTTGTTTTTTTTGAATCCTGATTATCCAGAAAGAAAAATAATTCCATAAAAGTAAACATGTCTCTTCTCCCTTAAACAAACAACAAACATACAAAAGTTTGACCACGCTCTTCTCTCAGACAACACCCCCCCGTCATTTCTCCCCCAGGTGATGGTCCTATAGTCATATGCAGAGTGAAGGGCAGCAGCAGATGCAGCCCGAGCCTGCAGCACAGCTCGCAGGACGATATGGACCATCTGGGCACGAGGCAGTTCAAAAACCAAGAAGAAACTTTCGTGAAATCTCCCTCATTGTCACCTGTAAGTGATGATTTTCTACCTGTCTGCACCACAAGCAGCTTTAGCGTACTCAGTGCACTAGCTGAAGCAACTAACTTCTGTCTGTCTCTTCCCCCTTAAATTTAGCCTCAGGGAAAGAAGTTCTGGCCCTGCAGATTTAGTGATATTAATGTGCATCGTGCTCCCAGCTGTTAACACACCCTGGCTTATGTGAATCCCGAGCAATGAAGAGACTGCATATCCAGGAAGAGTGAGGGGGCATGTTTCCCCCTTCTTGGTACATCACACGCCGGAAACAAACACAAGACACGGCTGGACGTGGTGCCTCAGGCTTGTAACCCCAGCAGTCTGCGAGGCTGAGGCAGAAGGATGGAAGGTTTGAGTCCGGCTTGGGAAACTTAGCAACTTACCAAGACCCCATCTCAAAATAATAAGTAAAGAAAAGGCTGGGGATGTAGCTCAATGTGAAGGCCCCGGGAACAAACCCCAGCACTGAAAAAAAAAAGATATTGAAGGTGGAGAGAAGGCAGGTCAGCTAGGGCCCTGGGGAGTCAAGGAACAATGTGGCAGAGATGTCCCTGGTTTTTCTTTTCACATCATATATCCCAGCTGTGGACCTGAAGGTCTACCAACCCTGCAACGCCAAGGGGGTAAACAAAGAAGTCCCCGTAGGAACCTGCCCTCTGTGGTCTCCCATAATCCTCCACTCTAACTGACATAATCACCCCACTCCTCTGCTCCCTCCCCATCTTCCTCCCTGCACCCGGAAACTTCCCCCAGCCTTCCTTCACGTGGTCTCTCACGCATCACCTTCCTGTGTGTCTGTCCTACAGGACCTTGTTGGCCGTTCGTTTTAAACCAGGTTCTTGTATTGTTTTGCTTTGTTGCAGTACTGTGGATTGAACCCAGGGTCTCCACCCTGAGCTACAGCCCCAGCCCTTTATTTTAATTTTTTATTTTGACTTATGGGCCTCAGTCAGTCACTTAAATTACCCGGGTTGAGCTCAGATTTGGAAACCTCCTACCTCCCCCTCCCAGAATGTTTGAGCTAGTCAGTTGTTTTTCTCCCCAGGTGACATAAGCATTGTCCTTCTAAGCTAGGAGGCAGGGCATGGCAATGCGGAATTGTTTTTCTCCGTAGGTGACATAAGCATTGTCCTTCTGAGCTAGGAGGCAGGGCATGGCAAAGCCGGCTGAGGAAACAAGTGGGACCTGTCAACGAGAAGATCCCAGAACAGCACCAGATAATTCCCAGGACCCCGTATGTAGAACTTCTCGCGGATTCCCGCGAGATGTGGACGGCATATAAGGACAAAGACCCCCACTGGGAGCCCACTATCTCGACTCTTCACAGTAGCTGACTGTGTCTCCCAGACTGGAGTGTACTTTCATTTTTGCTCTTCTCCTTTGTTCGCCCCAGATTAGGTGTTTCTTGCCTCCCTCTTGCCATCTGACCCTCCAGGAAGGACCGGAGGAAGAGACCCCACACCACCTTCTCCATAGAAGGGCCCGGCTCCAGAGAGCAGTGAGACATGCCATCTGGCGAGACTTACTGAACATGTTGTTCCAGGTCACGTTGGTCTTCTCCTGGGACCCCACCTGCCGGAAGTGGAGGACCTTGTGGTGGTCGAGGTTGAGCACCAACTCTTCACAGTAAAATGGAATCCCACAGCTGCCCTCCACCAGGTACCTGCAAGGCAACCTCTTTACATTAAAGAACATCTTCTACTTCTTTTTTTTCCTGAGACCTCTGTAGTCTTTTTTTTTTTTTTTTTTTTTTACCTCTGTAGTCTTAAATTTTGCATTTGTTATGTAGCCTAGGCTGGTCTGGAATGCGTAATCCTCCTGCCTCAGCCTCCTGAATGCTAGGACTATAGTCCTGTAGCACCACACCTCGCACGAGCCATCTTTTAATAAGGAAAAGTAGCTGACTCTTCAATCTTTTAAGAATAATCTCTTCTTATTGCTACTTGTTTCAGTTTGTTTTTCAGTTTTAGGGATTTTTTTTTTTTTTTTTTTTTGGCATTAGAGATTGAACCCAGGGTTTCACACATTCTAGCAAGTGCTCTTCGTCCTTAGCCCTTTTTCTTTTATTTTGAAACAGGATCTCCACCCTGAGCTACAGCCCCAGCCCTTTATTTAAATTTTTTATTTTGACATATGGGCCTCAGTCAGTCGCTGAGTTGTCCATGCTGGCCTCAAACTTGTGATTGTACTGTCCCAGCCTCCTGAGTGGCTAGATTACAGGTGTGCACCACCAGATCTAGCTCTTTTCCTTTTTGTTTCACTTTTCCTCTTTCTTTCCTTTTTCTTTCTTTTTCTTCTTCCTTTTTTCCTTCCTTTCCTCCTTCCCTCTTTCTCTCTGTCTGTCTTTCTTTCTGAGACAGGTTCTCATGATGTAGCCCAGGCTGGCTTCAAACTCACAGTGACCCTCCTGTCTCGGCCTCCCGAGTGCTGGGATTACAAGTGTGCACCACTACACCTGGCTTTATTTCACCTTTTCAATTCCATAAAACATTTGTATCTTTCCAAATTTAAGTTAAAGCTACATAAATAAGGTACATCCTCAATCTTGTCTGTCTTCCTCACTCTATAGGTAACGACTTTGATTAGTGCTTGTTTTATCTTTCTGATACTTCTAAAAAAGAAACAAATGCATGTGCATACACACACAGATTTATTTAACCTTTTTCTTAAATACAAGTCTGTGTTATGCACAAAGACTGGGTGACAGCACTCAACAGTGGATCATGGTCATCCCTTCTCATCAGTAGATCATTCTTCTCTTTTCACTCCCATCTAGATGGCTGCCTCCTAGTTTATTAAAACTGTCTCCAAAGAGATGGACATCTGGATTGCTTCCAGTCTTTATTTTTTAATTTTTAAAAATTGATTAGTTTATTTTTTTTGAGACAGGGCCTTGCTATGTAGTATGGGCTGGCCTTAAACTCATGATCTTCCTTCCTCAACCTCCCCCAGTGCTGGGGTTATAGGCATGTGCTACCACGCCCAGCTCAATCTTTTAAAATACCCCAATAAAATTTTTTCCATATGTCACTTCTGTCAATGTATCTTTGAGATAGGTCCCTCGAATTGATAGATGCCTATACGTGTTCACACACATGTGTGTATACATGTGGAGAGTCAGGTTCATGTCTGGAGTTATTTTAAATGAGCTCTTGCCCAAGCCATCTTTCTTCCAGAAGCAAGACAACCTCATTAGAAAGAATGGATGCAGATACACATATGAAGGATTGTAAGTCACCAGCTAAAGAAGAGAATTTGGCCAGGGGTGGAGCATGCCTGTATCCCAGGTACTTAGTAGGTTGGGGCGGGAGGATGGAAAGTTCCAGGCCAGCCAGGCACGGTGGTACATGCCCATAATCCCAGCCATCTGGGAGGCTGAGTCAAGAGGACTCTGAGTTCGTGCCCACCCTGGGCAATTTAGCAACTCAGCAAGACTCTGTCTTAAAATAAACAATAAAAAATAAAATGTCTGGGGATGTAGTTCACTGCGAAGGATCTGGGTCCAATCCCCAGGACAACAACAAAAAAGTCTGAGGCCAGGCTGGGCAACTTAGTGAGTTTAACTGCCTCAAGTTAAATTACAAAGGTCTAGGTGCAGGTCAGTGGTGGCCTACCATGTGTGAGGTTCCATCCATACCACAGATAAATACATAGAAAAGGAAACAGAGTCTGTGTGTTGCTAAGGGGTCTGCTACAGGCCACATCGAGGAGCCACCAGAGAGCTTAGGAAGCCCTAGGGTCTGCGCTGCTCATCTGCCCAGGCAGAGAACACCACATGCATAGGCCACGCTCTTGCTGGACTTTTGTCCCCACCGGTGCATCCTCAGTGTGCCCCAGTTTGCCTTTCCTGTCAGTGAAAGTGGGGAGATCTGCCCCAGGGAGGGCAACCTGCTAAGCGGAGTATGAGGTGTGATGTGGGCCAGCACAGAAAAGCGAGTAGTCCCTGGCCGGCCACGTGCAAGGGGCGGCCCCTTCAGAAGGGGCAGCAGCAGACACGGACACAGGCAGGACACAGGCGCCTCAAGGATCTGATGGTGGGACAGGGGAAGAACTGCTGGTGTCAAGGCCTCGGGACAGGAACCACCGGGCTACTCACATGTCCAGCTCTCTGGAGATGCTGCTCACGTTGAGGTCAAAGCAGGTCTTGTTGCGGATGTCCTTGGACTGAACTGCGCCAAGCGTGACATAGGTGGTGTTCCTGTTCTTCATGATGTTGCTGGCAGCGGCACAGAGATCTTCGACAGGGGGCGACAGGGACATGATGATATAGATGGGCACTGTTTGGATCAGCTTCTCCATGAAAACCCAGGAGGTCCTGTCCACAAACTGGGCCTCGTCAATGATTAAAATAATCCTTTCACTTCTCACTGTCTGGATGAGGCGGGGACACAGAGAGAGAATGGATGAGGCGGGGACACTGAAGTCTGCAGGTTCAGATGCCCAGGTACTAGAGGCGCGTGTGTCCACCCTGTTCAAACTTCTCCTCTCCAATACTTTGTTCACTGGGATCCCACTAACCTGGGGTCCTTAGTCGCTCAGACAGCTAGCTGGAATACTTTTGTGTGAACAAACCTTTGTGTTACAATAAATTTTTAAGAAAGGAAAGAAAACAAAAATGCTAAAGATGTAGCTCAACTGGTAAAGCATGAGCTTACCATGCACAAGCCCCTGGGTTGGATCTCCAGCACCAAAAATAAATACATACATAAATAATTTTTTTTGAGACCAGGTCTCACTATGCAGTTCCAGCTGGCCTTGAACTCACTGTGTAGCCCAGGTTGGTCTTGAACTGTCAGACATCATCCTGCCTCTTGACCATCCTGGTCTTGAACTGTCAGAGATCATCCTGCCTCAGCCTCCCAAGTGCTGGGATTATAGGTGTGCACCACCACACCTGGCAATAAATAATGTTTTAAATAATGTCCTGAGGATCATTTAATTTTTTGCCCTGAGGATAAATAGCATTGTAGAGGTACTCACAAAAGCCAAGAAAATGTGCTTATTCCACAAAAAAAAAAAAAAAAAAAAAAAACCCTGACACATCAGCTACAAGTCATTCTACTCTATTGATAAAGGAGTTGCAGACAGATCTACTAGACATAGACTCGGCTCACACACTTGCTAAGTACTCACAGGCTGCACACCTGACCCAGTGTGGAAGGACACTGAGCCCATGCTGGGCCTGCTATGTTTACAGAGCAGAGCTGTGGGTTCTGTTACACCTCCAACGGATCATGTGTCCTTTCTCTGGTATAGACAACCCTTCCTTAACTAGTCTGAATTATTCATTTCCTCATGAAACATTTATTGCTCATCTATAAGGGTTGAGGCAGGGTTCTAGGCATTGGGGTTATAGTTTTAAATAAAATGTGGGGCTTATACTTCCATTTTGGCCACTCTTAGAGCCGGCCCTGCCTTTGCACTGGGAGATGCCCGGCCTGGGGAACAGCTTCTCTCCTGAGCTCTCTGCTCTGGCCTGTTTGATTCCATCTGGCTTAGTCCATCTTTCCCTCTGTGTTTATACCAACAAAAGCACCAGAGTCTATTTCAAACTTGGAAATTTCATAAGATAGTCTTAAAAGGTGTTACAACTTCCAGTACCAGACATGGCAGTGCATGCCTGTAATCCCAGCACTCTGGGAGGCTGAGGTAGGAGGATCACAAATTCTTTCCCAGCCTGGGAAAATGAGTGACTTAGCAAGACCCTGTCTCAGAATAAAAATTTAAAAATTTTAAAAAAGCTGAAGATATAGCTCAGTGCAAAGGCGAGAACAAAGAACAGAGAGAGGCTGAGCTGGGTTGTGGCTCAATAGTATATAGCACTTGCTTGCATTCACGAGGGCCTCGTTCGTCCCCAGCAACACACATGCGCGCGCGCGCGCACACACACACACACACACACACACACACACATGATGATGATAACTATAAAATGAGATTGAATAGGGTTCATGCTAATGTGAATGAAAGCCAGCGTTAACACTGCACTGCCTATGTCCCACGCAGTGCTTGAAACTTTGCTCCCCGCGTTTACAGCATCCGCGGGTGTGGTGATATTGAATCTGTTTACCAAGGAAACTGAAACCCAGCAAAGCTCAATACCCGCCCAGGGTCACACAGGCAGTTGGTGACCCAAAGGCTGCAGGCACAGCGCACAGTCAGACACAGCCTCAGCTGTGGTTGCCCCCGAAGGCTGTGCTTCAGAGCCGCCTGAAAGCTGTCCAAAGGAAACGGCTCAGTGGTCCCTAGGCCTCACTCTGGCCCTAGATTTTTAACCTCTAGTGGTGGGACTCATAAATCCATATTTTAAAAGAAGCTTCTGGATGTACTTGTGAGGCAACAGCCCGAGGTCTACATTGACTGATTGACTGACTGATTGATTGTGCTGGGCATTAAACCCAGGGTCTCACACATTCTAGGCAAGCACACTACTGCTGAGACGCATCCGTCCCTAGCCCCAAAGCCTGACATTTATGTATCTGAAGCGAGAAGCAGGTTGGATTGTTAATACAGTGCCACAAACTTATGCTGGTCGTTGTTAATTACACACCAGGCCCTGGGCCCTGGGACAAAGATCAGCAGGAGGCTCACTGTCCTCCGGACCTCACCACCCCCTGGAGAGGAATTACAACAGGTTGCCCTGTATATGAGAAATGATCTCAGAGCTTCACAAAGCTCAAGTGGAAGAGAGCAGGGATTATTCGGAAAACTGTGCAAATGGTCCAGGAAGAGATAAAAGCCTCGACCAGGGCGGTGCGGGCAGAAGACTCAGGGAGGCCAGAGACGGTCAGAGGTGTAGCACTTGGTAACTGAGCAGATGCAGGGTACATGGGTAAGAAAGCAGGCAGGAGCTTCCCTTTGCACTCCCCTCTCACTCTCTCTCTCTCTCTCTCTTTCTCAGGATTTATCCCAGGGCTATTGCACTGAGTTATATCTTCAGCTGTATTTTTTAAAATTGGGATCCTCCTGCCTCAGCCTCCCAGAATGCTGGGATTATGGGTGGTCACTATCACAGCCAGCTTGGCAAGGACAACTTTAAATGATGTTTGAATGAGCACTAACAAAATCAAGAATTAGATCTGAAGGAGGAAGAAAGGGAGTGTGGTAGGAAGAAACAGGATCTGGTGTTCTACTCCAAACTCCGTGTGAGTTTCCCCAGCCAGGTGCAGCTCTAGAGGTGAGGACGGGAATACTAAATTCTGTGCTTGTCTGAGTGTAGTGGGCAGTGGGAGCCCTGTGATTATTCAGAGAGGGCTCGAATTTGTTGTGTGTCCTATGAAAGAAGCACTGAGTGTTTTCCATAAACCCTATAGTCATTTAAACCTTACACTCCTGTGAGCTAGGTGCGATTATTTCCCATTCCAGACATGGTAAGACACAAGCAAAGAGAGGTGAAGTCACTGGGAATGCGGTCACTCAGGTACCAAATGACAGGCCTAGGGACTCGCACCTCCAGGGTCTCCCTACAGGGCCTGTGTAGTAAGCATTTTTGTTGTGTTTGTGTTTGTGGTGCTGGGAATTGAGCCCAGGACCCCTCTCACTATCCACACCTGCAGCCCCATAACTACTTAGATGTCTTACATCTGATATAGGTGAGAAAAATGGGGCTAGAGAAGCCCAAGTCCCAGGAGGCATGTTAGGAGCTCCCTTCAAGTATATCTGCATTCTGAACATATCTTTGCTCAAGGTTTGGCAGGAAGAAGAGAATGGAGGACTTTAGGATACAGTGCTCACGTATGTGACTGCTGATTCTCATATGTCACCTTCCCTGGCTTAAGGAGCACCGAGCAGATCAGCAGAGCACACTGCTGGTTGTGCCTGGGTGACTCATGGAGAGGTACTTCTAGGCACTGTGTCTGCTGCCTGACCCCGTCCTCTCCAGCCCTGTTCTTCTGCTTGGTTTCTGGGCCACCATGAGCCAAGTGGCTCTTCTCTGCCACACCCTCTGCCATGAGGTTTCTGAGGCCTTGGAGCCAGTTTCCCATGGACTGAAACCCCTGAAGCCATGAGCCAAACTAACCCTCTTGTCCTTTAAGTCATGGCTGTCAGGCATTGTGTCTCAGTGGCAGGAAACTAACAGGACACACTTCCAAGGGGTCTCACCTATGAGCTCAGCCCTCAGGCTGGTTCATGGGCGGCTCTGCTGTCCTTTACCCAACTTCCTGCACCCACAGCGAGGAACACAGGGTGCTTACTTTGTCCAAGAGCTTCGTAAACAGTTTTTCCACTTGCTTTTGCTTTCTCAAGCTGCTCATCCTGGAAATCTCCCGGGAAGTGGGAAACTGTATAAAGAATTATGAGAATATTGAGTATAGGGAAATAACAGGGAATTACTAGTTTTGTGACTCTGAGCAAATCACTTAACCATTTTATGTCTTAAAAGCCTCAAATGTTAAACAATCCATGATGTCCTTCCCAGTCTTGCTAGGATAGTACAGATATTATGGAAAGGTGAGAAAAAGATGAATCAGCAGGTGGCCATTTGCAATTTTTTCACATAGTATTTCTAGATACCTCCGCTATGCCTCAAGAACATGGACACCAACTAGGTATTCTGGCACACAGTTGTTATTCCAGCTTCAGAAGGCAGCGGGGTGGTGGATCATGAATTTCAGGTCAGCTTGGATTTGGTGAGACTGTCTCAAAAAAAAAAAAAAAAGAAGCCAGGTGTGGTGGCACACACTTGCAATCCCAACGCTCTAGGAGGGTGAGGCAGGAAGGTCACAAGTTCCAGCCAAGACTGAACAACTTAGTGACTTAGCAAGGCCCTGTCTCAACATTTAAAAATGAAAAGGGGATGTTGGGGACTTAGATCTGTGCAAAAGATCTAGATTCAGTCCCTAATACTGCAAGGAAAAGGAGAAACAGAGATAGAGATAGAGATAGAGATAGAGATAGAGATAGAGATAGAGATAGAGATAGAGATAGAGATAGAGATAGAGATAGTGAGATGGAGAGCTGAACACAGGGCCTGGGGATGTCACACAATGATAGAACATGAGCTTAGCATGCGTGAGGAACTAGATTCTGTCCTTAACGTTGCAAGACAAATCTCTGTGTGCATTGCCAAAGGAAGACAGGGAACCATCCCCTCCCCAGCTGGATAATGCAGATGACAGAAGGAAGATAAAGGCCAAAGGGAGGCCAGGCAGAAAGCAACAGGGCAGCCTTGTGGCTCTGGCCCCTGGCAGTTTACCTGGACGTGGAAAATGTCATTAAGGAGGCAGAAGAACTTCTCATCCATCAGTTTCCTGACTGTACTTTGAAGCTTGGTCTGGCGCTCCTTGTAATGTTTGCAAGTATCCAGACCCAGCACATTGGCCATGAGTATTTGCATGGTATAGAAATTCTGCTGGAAGCTGACCTTCGTCAGTGCAATAGCAACAGTCCTATTTATGAGAAATTCAGGAATCAGTAAAGAATTTTGAATAGGATTCTTTTGTTGAATAGGAAAGGTTGAAGGAATTTCTGAGTCCTCATACTCAGCCAGGCTGACAGATTTCCCGAGCTGCTGGGAAGCTGTTCTTCATCCCTGCTTCCGGAACCTTCCCTCATTCATCGGGCTCTGCCTGCCTTTCCGGCCCTGCTGCCTCTGCCCTGTACCCTCAGACTCCCCTAGGCTGCCACCACTGCAGGCCACTGCCTGTGCCTCCTATCACCACCCCAGGAGCCGTCACCTCCCCAAGGAAGCACCTCAAGGATCAGCTGGTTGCCTGTAGTCCAGGCACACAGGAGGCTAAGGCAGGAAGGTTGCAAGTGCAAGATCAGCCCAGCAAATTTAGTGAAATCAAGGCCAGCCATGGACAACAAGGGGAGACCCTGTCTCCAAACAAAAAAACGCCCCAAATAAACAAATAAAACTCCTCCAGGTTCTAGTTAGATGCATATCTTTGGGCTGGGGGGTGGAGCTCAGTGTATAACTGAATGGAGTTTAATTCCCAGCACTGAAAAAAAATAGAGAATTGGGTGTGATGGCACATTCCTGTAATTCTACCACTTGAGAAGCTGAAGCAGGAGGATTGCTGTGAGTCTGAGGCCAATCTAGGTTACATAGTGAGGTCAAGGCCATCCTAAACTGCATAGCAAGACCGTCTCAAAGCAAAGCAAAGCAAAACAAAACAAAACAAAGCAAAATATGAAAACAAAAAAAGGAAAATATTAAAAAGGCAAATCTTTTATCATTCTCATTTAAAATTTTTCAGCTGGGTGGAAGATCATGAGTTTCACACCAGCTTAGGTATATTGTGAGACCTTGGAGGCTAAGGCAGGAGGATGGCAAGTTTGAGGTCAGCTTGGACTTCATAGCAAGAGTGTCTCAAAAAAAAAAAAGTGAAAATAAACTTTTTTTCATGCCTCCTCCATTGCTTATAAGTGTATATCCTTATGTGACAACCAGACTTTCTAAAGCCTCTCTGTCTTCATTTTTTTTTTTTTTTTTTTTTTTTTGGTGTGGTAGTAAGATCAGAAGCCAGGGCCTTTGCACTGACTACATCCTCAGCTCTTTTTAATTCTTTTATTTCGAGGCAGGGTCTCAGTCACTAACTTACCCAAGTGGGACTCAAACTTGCAATCCTCCTGCTATATCCTCCCAGAGTGCTGGGATGACAGGCGTGTGCCACCCTGCCTGCCTATCCGTCGATTCCTGCCACTCTGCCCAGTCCCCGCCCTCCGCCAACAAGCATGTTCAGTTCTGCATGCCCAGGGCTGCAGCTCCTCTCGGCCTGCACTCCCCTGCACTCCTCAGCACAGCCTGGATGCCTTCATGCTGCTGCTCCTCACTCAGCCCGGCTCAGCCTCCTGGAACACACTCCTGGCACCCCGAGGTCGCGGCCCACACAGCTCTCTTCTGCCTTTCTCTCCCTGCTTCTGTTCTTTTCCTTTTAAGTCCATTTTATTTTTACAGCCAGGCATGGAGGCGCACAACTGTAATCTCAGCACTCGGAAGGCTGAGGCAGGAGGATCACTTGGGAGTTTGAGGCCAGGCTGGGATACATGAGTCCAGACCAGCCTGAACTACCTAGTGAGATGATGCCTCCAGAAAAATTACAATTAAATAAAAATAAGTTCATTTAATTTTGTATGCATATGTTTATCATCCATAATAATTGCACTCATGGTGGGGAACTGGTACACAGACATTGTATCTCGACCCTTTATACTCCCCTCCCCAAGCCCCTTCCCAGCTCCGTGGTCCACTCCAGTTCCCTCTGTTCTTCTTTGATTTTGCTCTTTAAATTGTTTACAGTGTGGGTCTCTCCTGTTCCAGAGACTGTGTGATATTGAACCTGCTCTTATCTCCCCCTCTTCAGTGCCAGCTCCTTGTGGACAGGAGTCCGACGAAGCTCACACACTGGCATGTGGTATGGGCCTGCTTGTGCCCCCTTGAATCCATCTGTTGACATCATAGTCCATAGTACCCCAGAATGTGCCTTATTTAAGAACAGGGCAGTAGTAGAATAATTAGCTATGCTGAGCTCATACTGAGCCGCATGTGGTGGCACACCCCTATGATCCCTGCTGTTATGGTTTATGTCTGTGTGTCCCCTCAAAGCCTCCTGCGGCCCTGGGGCAGGCTATTAGAGTTTGAATATGGGTGTGAGAGCTACACCCGCCCTGGGGTGGATAGTTTGCATATGTAAGGGAGAGGAGGAAGCTGCTTGGAGAGATTCCTCCCCCATTCTGCCCTGGTGTGTGTGTCCTGGTAGCTGCTTTGCTGTGCTGCCGCCCTGAGATGCAGCCCTCTGCCACGTGCCACTCTGCCTTATAATCATGCCTAGTACGGATTGAAACCTCCACAAACTGTAAGCGAAATAAACCTTTCCTTCCTTAATTTTGGTCATCAGGTAGCGAGAAAAAAATAACCAAGACACCTGCCCTCTGGGAGTCTGAGGCAGGAGGGTTGTAAGTTTGAGTCCTACCTGGGGGACTTAGTGACTTAGCGAGTCCCTGACTCTAAATTTAAAATTTGAAAGAAAGGCTGGAGATATAGCTCAGCAAGAAGGTCCTGGGTTCAGTCCCTAGTGCCATGAAAAAAAAAAAAACAATTTAAAAGATGACATCATCCTGAAATAGGTTGGGCCCCCTAAACCTATGTGAGTGGTATCTTTCTAAGGAGAGACCACTTCGTTCCCTCATGCATGGTGGCCTGCCCTCACTCTGTAGGAGATACTTCTCCTACGTTTACTTGGCCCAGACTCGCTCTGCAGAGCCTGTTTCTTTTCCTACTTTTAATAAAGCTTTGCAAAAAAAAAAGAAAAGAAATGTGGCTGGGTGAGGTGCCACCACCTGTAATCCCAGCTACACACGAGGCTGGGGTGGGAGGATCACCTGCGCCTGAGGTTGGAGGCCAGCCCCAGATGGAGAGAGACCTCACCTCAAAGCTTAAGTGGGGGCAGATTTGGACACAGTGCAGGAAAGCACCACAGGGTGGAAAGCCCAGGCACGGCCGGAGCTGGAAAGGCCTGCTCGGACTCTTCCTCCCTGGGCTGAGAAGAAGCAACTCCCGCCACCTGCATCTCGGGCTCCTGACCTCTAGAACTGTGAACTGGACTAGTCCTGTTGCTCACACCAGCCCAGGTCGGTGCTTCATCCTGTTAGCTCTGGTAGCTGCTGCAGCACCGAGCCGTTCTTGGAGCACATCAGAATTCCAGAAGGGAACCAGGCCAGGCTTTCTGGTGGTTATGAATTATCCCCCAGGCAAAGTCAGAGGCTTTGAAGCTGGCTTTTCTCAGGCCTGGCATTACCGAGTGATAGAAACACAGCTACACATGATGTAAAGCTAGCAGGCATCTCCCCTACAGCTTTGGCTACATGGAGAGAACATGGAAGGCACTGCCATCCCTGACTTGTTACTGGATACTGCAGTACCTGCTTCCACAAGGGCAAGATGGGTGATACACTCCGTATAAACATAGAAGCCAGGCAAGGTGGTGCACCCCTGTAATCCCAGCACTCTGGGAGGCTGAGGCAGGAGGACTGCAAGAGCAAGCCCAGCCTAGGTGACTTAGTGATTTAGCAAGAGCCTGTCTCAAAATAAAAAAATAAAAAGGAATGGGGATATAGCTCCATGTGAAAGCCCTCGGTTCAATCTCCAGTACTGAAAAAAAGAAAAGAAAGAGGCAGGGAGAAAGGAGGAGGCAAAGGGAAAATAAAAAGAATTAAGAGGTGTTAGGTATCTGCATGTACCAACTCCCCTTGTTATCATTATGTACTGCAAACATGAACTCATAAAAAAATTTTAAAAGAAAGAAAGAAAGAAGAAACTGCATAAGCAACATGAGGCAAGCACATTGGCTCTGCCTTCCAGGGGAAAATCCGGAGGCCTCTCAGCCTCTGTTCCCACCCGTGCATGGTTCTCGGTCAGCCCGCCTGCACTCAGGGTTGTTCGGGCAGCTTTAAAATACCCAGACCCCACCGCCATAAATCAGGGTTGCTGGGGTCGCCTCGTCTCTCCTTCCCTGAGTTCTGAGTGTGTGTCAGGAGCTATTTTACACAAGGGTCCTGCATCCCGCAGTCACAGAGCGCACCTGGCTCGCAGAAGGCAAGTTGTAGGAAGAAGAGACCTGCAGCCCGCGACTGGGGGGAGCGCGGGGGCATCTCGGGGAAGGAAGGGGGCTCCCAGGAACGCACCTGTGCCTCTCCCCCTGGGCCAGGTACTCGATCTCCTTGAGGATCTGGCTCTTCCCATAGCCCGCTATGCCTTCGTATATGAGGATACGGCTGTAGCCGGAAATCAGAAACTTCTTCATATTATCCATGAAGTACTTGATCTCCTTATCACGTCCTGTTGTTTTTATATTTTTAAAAAAGAAGTAAACTCATCAACATCTATAGAACTATACGAAAGCACATAGTGAATGCCTCCCAAGAGTGTCCGTGAAACACCCCCGGACATCATTTCCTGACTGTCCGCAGACACTGTGCGCTTTATTTCTGACAAGGAGTCTTGCTAGGAGGCCGGGTTGGCCTCGAACTCCGCATGCTCCTGATGCAGCCTCTCTGTGCTGGGATTCCAGGTGTGCACTACTGCACCTAGCCCTTGGGTAGTTTCAGTCTTAAAAGTCTCCCTCTAGAACTTTCTAGTTAACAAGGTGATTTTGCAGTTTTATTTGACTACCACAAGCTATGAAAGAAAGTTGGGTTTTTGGTTTTGTTTCACTTCTTTATTTTTGGTTTTTTTGACAGTCTGGCTCAGGCTGGGCTTGAACTCACTATGTAACCCAGACTGGCCTCAAACTTGAAGTGATCCTCCTGTCCCAGCCTCTTAAGTGCTAGGATTACAAGTGTGCACCACCACACTTGGTTCTGACTTAAATTCTTAGTAAAAAGAAATCGTCTTTTTTTCTGATAAAACTAGGAACATTAGCTTGCATGTGGATGTTTTAGAAAAAGAATCTACATGCTGTACGTGGTGATGTAGATTTCTTGATATGGTTTAGTCAGAAGCACTCTTTGGTGTGAAACTGTCCCTTCCTGAAAATTCATTTCAACTTCAGTTTTGTGGGCTTTGTTCTTTTCTTCTTTTGCTTGACGCTTTCAAGCCTCCACTTAACTTTAAATATGTGTGTCTTGTTTCTATCTGAACGAAGCCCTACTATCTGGGACTTTTGTGTGTATTTTGGACCTTAAAACGCCACTGTACATTCATTGTAGTTTGGCTATGTTACTGTGATGTTATGACAGGCACTCTTAGAAAAGACAGGCATTTGCTGCTCTGCAAACCCTGGACAAGCTGCTTCAGGCTGTAGCTGCAAGAAGGCGCACGGGGCTAATGTTCCCCGCACATTGGTGGGATCTCATGAGAGACGTGTGCATGTCACACGGAGGTGTCACGGTGGCACTGTTCTGTCTTCCGCAAGCCTGTGGAGGGAGGTTGGGGCCCCTGCTCTGCGGTCACTTTGAGCACGTTTGGGGCCGGAGAACAAGGGCTTGGGGGTGTGAGCAGGGGTCTGCTTTCTCTTCTCAGCCCGCAGGAGTTTGGGGTCTGATGTACAGGAAGTGATGTGCTAGAAGACCCCCCCAAACCACCAGAAAGCTGTGCCCGGGCACATTTCCGCTGACCCAGGTACTTTTTGCTGCTCTGGACCTCTCGCCTTCTCTCAGGGTTGTGCTGAAGATTCGGCCTAACATTCCTCAGAGTGAGGGACACACTGCCTCCCTGTCGCTGGAACACAGTGGTGGCCCGTACTGAACTTGCAATGAGCCTTTCAGGGACATTCAGGTCTTCCAGAAAGAAGGAAATTCCTACAGCAGCTCTTGGATCTGTTTTGTCTAACTTGCGGACAAAGACTTACGGACAAGTGCCAAAAAGAAATCCTTTTTGCAAGCCAGAACTCATTGATGGTACGGGTTTTGAAACATACAAGAGGGAATACACTGGGTGTAGGGGCCCACGCCTATAATCCTAGCACTCAGGAGGCTGAGGCAAGGAAATCCCAAATTCAAGCCCAGCCTGGGCAATTTGGTGACTTTGTGAGGCCCTATCTCAAAATAAAAGATCAAAGGGCTGAAGATGCTTAGAAAGCAACAATCACTACCTACCCAGCAAAGGGTAGCTCTCATTTCCTTTGGTCCTGAGGTACGCCATACCAAACACACTGCAAGGGAAAGGAGGAAGAGATGTTATGTTGCAAGAGAAGTCCCAAGAGCATGGGGTTGGGTCTCGGTTCCCAGATGGGCTCCTCTTCAGTCTCTAACAAGACTCCAAGCCCTAACTCAAGGGTTGCAGATGCCAAAGGAGAAAGGAGAAGAAGTTCTACTTGGTTAGAGAGAGTGCTAGCACCCGGGTACCCGCTATTGCCATAGCACCCAGCACACCTTTCCACAAGTGCTTATTGAGGCTTTGTGAGTAGAAGAGACCCTTGTCCAGGGAGACAAGATGCCCAATACAGGGCCCAACACACTTGGTGTGGTACAGTCTCATGTCCTGGAAAGATTCTACCAGTTGCTTAAACAATAGCTCACCTTTGCTGAGAACATGGTATTTAGGCCCAAGCTGGCCTCAACCTCAAGATCCTCCTGCCTCAGCCTCCCAAGTGCTGGGACTTCCAGTGTGCACCACCATACCCAGTTCAAGACCTTAGATTTTATCCCCAGCACTGGCAAAAGAAATGTGCTGGGTGTGAGGCACATGTCTGTGTTCCCCAGAGGATCACACAGCAGGATCACAAGTTCAAAGATAGCCTGTGATGCTAGAGATCAAGGAGGAGGTGATGTTGGAAAGTCAGGGGGTACTTTGTGTGTCATTGTAAGGAATCCAAACACTGTCCTCAATGTGATCAGAAGCAACTGAAAGATTTTAAGTCCAAAGTGACAGCCACACATCTAAGTTGGACTTTGGGGGATTGTATTTCACTAAAGACCTAGAAAAGAAAAAATGGCTTATACTCTTGCAACCCCGTCAAAACCTCGGCACACAGTTGGCCTCATCAGTAGATGCTTGATGGTGACCAGTCCATCTGGGTGGAAAGAGACACTCAGATAAGGGAATTCTTGGGTCTATTTGTGCATTCTTTGAAGACTCTCCCTCAGATTTTCTGGCCGAAGGCCGGAATGGGATCTCCCGTTGAGCTATAATAGCAGCAGGACAGAACAGAGATGAAGGGTTTTGAAATCAGGGTGGGAAGGAATGTTTTTCCATTTGCGGAAATGCCAGACTCTCATGTGGGCGACCATGACCTGCCTAGGGAGCCTCATTCTCCATTTCTCTAGAAAATACCGCAAATCCCACGCCCACACTCACACTTCCTCATTGAGGCCCAAGCACTGATAGACTGGTCCTGCATCTGCCACGCCTTTCATAACTTTCTTCGGGAGCTCTTTAAAAAAGTAGGCTGGTAGGTTGCTGCTGTTGTAGGTGACGGAGTCACAGGTCACGATTCCCGGGTAGTACATCATCATCCTGGCGGCGATGTTGACTTTCTGACCAATGACTGTCACAGAAAGGGAGCAAAGGCCACTGGCCTCAGTGTCATCTGAGGACACTCGCAGGTGACATTTATCCTTACTGCATTCGTGAGCTCCCTCTTTTATTAGCCCTCGTCAGCCAATGGCTGTTCATGCAGATTCAGAGGGGAGGACGATTGGAAATTTGAGCATAGCCTGGACTATGCATTTTAGCTTAGCAAGGGTTAGGGATGTAGCTCAGCATGAAGGCCCTGGATTCAGTCCTCAGTAACACACACATGCACACATAACACACACACACATGCATGCACGCACGCACTCACAGCAGTCTTACCCTAACCTATCCCATTCCAGGAGCAGAGCTAGAAGGTATTTAATGTTAACAGGAAATTTTTTTGGAAGCCCCTCATCTCCACTCATAAGCATCTTTTTTATTTTTTTGAGACAGGGCCTTGCTATGCAGTTCAGGCTGGCCTTGTGCTCACTTTGTACCCCGGGGTGGCCTCATACTTGCAACAGTCCTCCTGTCTCAGCCTCCTGACTGTTAGGATTACAGGCGTGCACCACCACGCCCAGCGGATTTCTTAAGCTCATGCACATCACAGAACTCGAGTCCACAGCCCAGCCCAGGCCACCTGGCCCTGAACCCTCCCTGGCGGGGCTGATCCCGGCACCTGTGTACTCGTGTCGCATCATGTGTCCGATGATTCCACAGAAGACAATGCCGCTGGCCACGCCAATGGACACCGTACTGGCTCCAGGGAGAGAGGGTTGTGTGGAAGCCATCGAGATCATGAACATTGGCATCAGAAAAGAATTTCCAGAATGATGATGGGCACAGAGAAAGTAGGAAGGGAAGGAAAACAGTGAATGGGGTATGGAGGAGCGAAAGGGATTTTCAATAAATAATTCTGTAAGTCTCAAGTAGTGGCGCCCACCTGTAGTCCCGGCTAAGTCTGGGAGGCTGAGGCAGGAGGATGGTAAATTAAGGCCCACTCTGGGCAACTTAGTGTGACCTTGTCTCAACATAAAAAATAAAGAAAAGAGTGGGGATGTAGCTTAATGTGAAGGCTCTGGGTTCAATTTCTAGTACCATGAAAAAGAAAAGAAAAAAAATGAAAACAACAACAAAACACTTGGACCCTTTGTTGGTAGTTTATGGCAATTGTACGAGGCCTGGAGGGATGAAGGACCAAGAGCCTGAGGCGCAGAACTGAGTTCTCAGTTCTTTTCCTCTGCACCCCAGCCCTACCCCATACGCTTTAGAAGGGTCCAGGGCCGCGGGTGGGCTCAGGGTGACACTCACTCGATCTTGGGCACCTGAGAGCAGAAGTCGAATATGTCCACAGCACTTTCCAAAGCATGAGTGACCTCGTTGGGCTCCTTCTCCCCAGGGAAACCAAAGACGCACAGGAAAGAGCAGCCCTGCAGGGAGAGGGTCGTCAGCACATGCCTGGCAGTCACAGCACCAGGGGAAGGTCGCGCCCATCCTCTGAGCACCACAGCGATTCTCTGGGTCTGATCAAAGCAGGGTTTCTCTTGCACGTGACCTGGTTTTGTGTGAACTTTGCATAACTTGTAGTACACCATCAGTAGCAGAATTTGGAAGCTGGGTGTGGCAGTGGGCATCTGTAATTCCAGCACTCTGGGAGGCTGAGGCAGTAAGATCACAAGTTTGAGCCCAGCCTGGGCAATTTAGCAACTTAACCAGACCCTGTCTCAAAATAAATAAATAAATAAAAAGCCTGAGGATGTAGGTCACTATGAAGGCCCTGGGTTCAATGCCCAGTACAGAGAGAGACAGAGAGAGAACGACCAAGAGACAGAAGGAAAGGAAGGGAGGGAGGGAGAGAAGGGGACAGGACAGCTGTCTGTACCTCCGGGTGGAGGCCACACGCTGCTTAGCTGTAGCTGCGTGAGGCCCTGGGTGCATCGCAGCCCTGTGGGAAGGTGCAGGAGAGATGGTTTGGTGCGGACCCAAGTCCCAGCTACTCAAAAGCCCTGGGGAAGAGGATCCCTGGAGCTCAGAAGTTTGAGACCAGCTTGGGCAACTCAGTGAGGCCCCTTCATAAAACACTAAGGAAGCAGGGTGGATGGGGTGGGTTAACTAAGGCTCAGGGAAGTTGAAAGACTGGCTGCGGCTGCTGAACAGAGCTGCTTTCTTCTCTGTTCTGTAGATCCCCTGAGGAACACTGCAGGGGGAGCTGGAGCTGGCAGCGATCACCCCAGAACTCCCGCACACAGCACTGGCACTGCCTACTGAGCCGTGGGCAAGGGGTGTGAATCTCACCTCTGCTTTCAGCCTGACTCAGGATGCCAGAGAGTCAGTTACAGGATGAGTGAGTGCTAGCAGAGGGCAACACTTCAGTGCTTTACTTTTTTTGTAGTACTGGGGATTAAATTTAGAGCCTGGAGCATAGTGGATGAGCACTGTGCCACTAAACTACACCCCTAGCCCTAATGGCTCTACTTTTTTTTTTGGCTTCTATTTGAGGCAAGGTTTTGCTGTGTAGCCCAGTCTGGGCTCGAACTCACAGTGATCCTCCTGCCTCAGCCTCTTGAATGTTGGGATTACAGGCATGTGCTACCAAGCCCAGCAAGTGTTCTACTTTTACGATTATTTCTTTATTACAGCATTATTCTCTGAACTGATTTAACAACAGATTAAACCGGGGAAGCAGTGCAGGCCAATAATCTCAGCACTCTGGAAAGCTGAGGCAGGAGGAGCCCACGTTCCAGCCTAGCCTGGGTAACTTAGTGAGAACTTGTCTTTAAACTAATTAATTAATTAATTAAATTTAAGTTAATGAAAAAGGAAATGTGGCTCAGTGAGAAGGCCCTGGTTTCAATCCCCAGTACCAAAAGTGAACAAACAAAACAGATGGAAAGCACTTGAGATTTGGCTGGAGATGACCATCCCCTCCCCGGCTCTCCCCTGACGGGAATAGAAAGTAAGGGTACGGCAGGTGGGGATTCTGGAAACACATTTCAGGGATGGAGGTTAGTGGGCTCCTGCCCTAATGTCCCCGGGAAAGCCGTTTTACAACGAGCTGGAACCGTGTACGCAGTGAGAGGCGGTCGGGTGCCATGACGAGCACCAGTCTGGAAGGCAGTCCGTGAGGTTTGAAAACCAGCTCCTCACTCTGTAGCTGGAGGCTCAACCATAGAGCTTGAGCTCACCTTGCCTCAGGTTCCATGCCTATAAAAAGGGTACCCATCATATAGAGCAGGCATGGGGATGAAATGAGTTAATATATGCAATGTGATACAAAACACAGGGAATGCTTCAATTTTAAAAAGTGTGTTACAGTGAAGACACATTGCCACGAATCCCCCAAAAGCCTCCCCTGGCTCTGAGTACACTTGTCCCATTGTTCTTGTCACTTTCCGAAGCAGTTCTGGAAGAACTCTTTTGTGAGTGTCTTCGGTTGTGCTTTCCTGGCTGCCTCTATATCCTGAATTGATCCAAAACGTGTCCCTTTCATGGTCTTTTGGACTCTGGGGAAGAGCCAGAAGTCACATGGCACCAGATCCAATGAAAGAGGTGGATGAGGACACGGCATCATATTTCTACACATCTGCCTTTTGTCGGATGGCATTGGGCAGTGGCATTCACTGTATTTTTTTTTATCATAACCTGTAAAGACACTCAGGAGAGAGGAATCCAGAACTGGTTCATAGAGTGGCAAGAACCGTGTGAATATGTGTATAAAGCGATGGGGAGGATTTTGAGGGGGATTCGTGGCAATGTGCCTTTTACTGCAATACATTTTAAAAACTTAAACATGCACCATCTACTCTCGTCACACCTCCTTTGTCAAGTGCTGAGCACAGTGTCTGGTGCATAGTGATGCCACATGCGCCCCGTAAGTTATAATCCTAAATAAAGATGAAGATTTCCAGGTTAAATTTCTACTCGTCTGTTCCCGCCCCCCATCTCCAACTTTTGGCAGGTCCCGTCCCCCCCGTCCTGTTTACCTTGTCAAACATGAAGACTTTATTGATCTGGCCTCGGAAGGCCTGCAGGGTGGAGATAATGTGCTCACAGGCGTCCTGGATGGCCGAGCCTACGGCTTCCACCTTGTTTTGCTCTTTAAATATCAGGTTCACAAACACAATCGTCACCGGGCGAAGCTCAGACAGATAGCCCCGGAGCTGCCTGTCATCAATCTGCAGGGTTGAGAGCAGCTCTCTGTGCCATGGGTCCCAGACCACCCCCAGTCCCAACCCTAAAATCCTCAATGGGAGGAAAGGAGTCTTCTTTCTTTGGTAGGAGTGGGGGTATTGAACCCAGAGCCCTCACATGGAGTAACATACTCAGCATTTCTTTATTTTTTATTTTGAGACAGAGTCTGTTGCCCAGGCTGGGTTTGAACTTTTGATCCTCCTGCCTCAGCTTCTCAGACTGCTGAGATTACAAGTGCAGGCCACCACACCTGGCAAAAGGAGTGTACTGAGACTCTTTGGAGAGGCTGAGGTTATCAGAATGTGGGTGATGCCGGGCAGCAGAGCCTGCCTGAAACGAGCAGAGGAAAATGGGATGCACATTCCGAATCCTTTCTAGGGACGATTCTGTGCATTCGCTAAGTTTTGGCCAACACCTGCTGGCTCATCCCAGCGACAAGCTCCCTCGTTCAAATGAGCCATCACAACAAACAGAACTGCTGTTCCTTTTGCCACCCCTGTTTGCAAAGTTTTAGGGTAAGACTAGCAGGCCATGTAATTCAGCCTTATACTGTGGTTTCATAGCCTGGTGCTTCCTGAAATACTTTTACACCCTTCCCCACCCTTCTCTTCAGACAGAATTAAGTCAGCATTTTACAGATTAGACAACAGAAGTAACGAAATTCTCCCAAGGCCACGCGGGGAGATGCTGCGAGCGGGAACTCAGCTCTCTAGATGGCCACGCAGCACTCGGCCTGCTGCTTCTTGCGGGTGCGTCCCATGCGGGGCCCCTCCGAACACCAAGCCCTTCCCAGGAGGCATGGGACAAAGGAAGGAGATATTCCCAAATTACTCCTGCCAGTCATCGCCCATGAATTTTGTTAAATTGTTGTGCACACCAGTGGAGGAAATCATTGTACTTTCTCCCTTAAATAATACAAAAATGCAGAATTATAACCTCCTTTGACAATGTCAAGCACATTTTTTTTTTTTTTTTTTAAAGACAGGGTCTTGCTATGTAGTCCAGGTTGAATTTGCAATCCTCTTGCCTCTGATTCCCAGGGTGCGGGGCTTACAAGCATGTATCACCCTGCCTGGCTTTCTTCAACATTTTTTTTAAAGACAAGGTCTTGCTATGTAGCCCAGGCTGGTCTCAAACTCATGACAATCCTCTTGACCCAGGCTCCTGAGTGTTGGGGTTACAGACTTGAGCCACTATGCCTAGCTATTTAAGATTTTTCAAGCTCAAGAAAGTCATTCCCTGTGAGTCAAAATAAAGCTCTCCTCCTTCAGGAAGGAAGGAAGGAAGGAAGAGGGAGGGATGAAGGAAGGAAAGGAGGAGGAAAGGAGGGAAGGAGGAAGGAAGGAAAAAAGGCAAGAAGGAAGGTCATTTCTAGCTGTGCATAGTGACACATGCCTATAATCCCAGCACTCGAGAGGCTGAAGCAGGAGAATCCCTGTCTGTGTGTTCAAGGCCAACCTAAACTACATAACAAGTCATTTGCTCTTTCAAAAAACAAGCAAACTGTCAGGTATGGTGGCACATACCTGTAATCCTAGCACATGGGAGGCTGAGGCAGGAGGACTGCCCCAACTTTGAGGCCAGCATATGCTACACAGTGAGACTTTATCTCAAACAACCAAAAACCTAAGTGCAGTGTCCTGAGTTTCATTCCCAGTACCAAAACCAAACCAAACCAAAACAAAAAACCCCAAAACCAACCAAACAAACAAAAACTCAGACACAGGTACACATGCACAGGATGTAAGAGACTACAAAGGGAAAACTTCGTGGGGCTCAAGGTGGTTGAAGGAGCCCTGCTTACTTAGGACTGTTGAGTTTAAAACTTAAGACAACGCGAGGGACTCGGAGCGGCACTGCGCGGCGCTCGTGCACCTGGCGTCTTCCTGCCGTGTGGGAATGGAGGGACCACGCCGTCGCATGCTCCGTCTGCCCGGTGCTGCGAGGAGGCGGCGGAGTCCTGCTCTGCCCTTCCTGTCACAGTGTACCTGTGAGTAACACCCCCTTAACTCTGTTTTTGTTGTTGTTGTTTAAGTCCTGGAGCTCAAACCCAGAGCCTCACATGCTAGGCAAGTACAGTGCTACACCACTGAGCTACATCCCCAGCCCCCGCGTTAACGCTTTGGTTAGTTCGCTTGTTTGTTTGAGACAGGGTCCTGTGATGTAGCCCCTGCTGGCCTCAAACTTGCAGTCCCCCAGCTTCAGCCTTCCCGGCACTGAGCTGATGAGTAGATGCCACACACCCAGCGACTACGTTGGCTCTTAACTGTGTCCTGACTTGAGCAGTACACTTTGAAGTCACCTACACAGAATGTCTTTTTATTTCAAAGGAACATTTTACTGGTTGTTTTAAAAAAAAGAAAAGTATCTTTCCAGCTGCGGTCTCTGGCACCACACAGCCCGGGAACTCACTCAGGCAGGTACCTGCTTCTGGATGCTCTCCATCACGTACTTCTGCAGCGACTCCTCCAGCTCCGCATTGGACTCCAGCAAGCAGGCCAGCCTCAGCGCTAGGGGCAGAGGAGGGGCAGCTCAGGGAGGGGGCCCCCCCCACGCCCAGCCCCTGGGAACCCACGGTCAAAGAGGGAGCTATTAGAGGTCATAGGGTCCCCCAAATTCAACTGCAGTGTGGCTCAGCACCCTGGTCTAATTGTCAGCACGTGTTGGGGTTTGAGGGGACCGCCACTTGATGCCCCATCTGAAGCTCCGGCCAACAGCAGAGTGACAGCAGAGCAGGACGGAGTCAGGATAGAGCGGGTGATGGAGTAGACAGAACAGCGGGAGGAAGATTCAGGAAACTGGCCTCTCGTCTCAGAGCGGTGACTGTACATAAAAATCACCGGAGGCCGTTGCTTTAGACTGAGCTCCTACATGAGGCCCCAACAGCCCCAGCTAAACATCAAAATGGCGTCACTCTAGCAAGCTAAAGTTCCAGTCACCAAGATGGCTGGGTACTTCACCCGGGGAAAAGTCGAGGCTGGAGCGGTAACAACCCAATCTCCAAGTTTCATTTGTCAGGATAATGAAGTTCCTGCTTCTTCGTCCTTACACAGAAAAAGTAATGGTAACCAAAGAGCTATTTTTATCATATTCTGTCCCTCTGGCCCTGCCATACGAGGAAAGTAACTTTGAAATGACAGTGGGCTTTTTGTTCTCTGTTTCTGCTTTATTCTTGAGTGTGAGGATGCTGGAGGGAGGGGTATTGGTGGGTTGAACCCAGGGCTTTTGCAATGAGCTACATCCCTAGCCATCTTATCTTATCTTATTATTTTGAGACAGTCTTGCTACATCATTTTGCTGCCCAGGTTGAACTTCAAACTTGCCATCTTCCTGCCTCAGCTTCTCAAGTGCCAAGATCAGAGTGAGGCACCACTGTACCCATCATGCCCTGGGCTTCTTCCCTGCTTTCTGGATTCCTACACAACAGGAATGAGTGAGACAGGGGCTAGGCTCTGCTAGGCAGTGAGGACAGCAGCCCCAAAATGAAGTCTGCTGAGTCACGACCCACCAGGGATCTTACAAAGCACCTGCCAGGTGTCCCTAGAAAGTCTGTAATCTCCTATAGGGTAGAGATTACATGGGCTACACAGCAGCCAGCGTTCCCTTCTCAACTCCCCAGCAAGTCTCACACAAGGAGCTCTCCCGGCCAGCGGGAGCTCTGCTTTCTTGCCTTTACATCTTTCACTTTCTTGCCTTTATACCTCACTTCCTTGCCTTTATATTTCTTCCATAATTTTGTTGGTACCACACCTCCTCTGTCTACAGTTTCACTCTCCGTCATCGTGGGACATGACTCTGGCACCGCCGGTAACACCAATACTTAAGGGATGGGAAGGAAACCAAGCAAAGGGGCCTGAAAATGGGCAGGTATTTTGTGGGATTAAAAACAAAACAAAAAAAAGGCAAGGTGTGGTGGTGTGCACCTGTGATCCCAGGACTGGAGAGGCTGAGGCAGGAGGATAGAGAGCGCAAGGCCAGACCAAGCTACATAGTCAGACTCTGTCTCAAAGAAAGAAAGAAAGAAAGAAGGAAAGAAAGAAAGCAAAGCAGAAAAGAATACTCTTGAACCAAAGGAAAATAGAGAATGTAGTGTCCAGAAAAAGTGGGGGATGAGAATAATCGAAGGACAGCCACTTAGGATGAGGTTGGTTTGGCAAGTTAGTGGGAGATTTGGTGGATGTGACCTAACCGATAGAGGGGAAGAGGGTAGAAGCTAGGTGTCAGGGGCGCAGGGTCAGCTCAGCACAGTGGTGTGTGCCTGTCATTCCAGCTACTCAGGAGCTGACGCAGGAGGACTCCTTGAGCCCAAGAGCTGAGGACATCCTGGGCTACATAGCAAGACTCTGTCACTGAAAGATTAAAAATAAATAAAAAGCCCGGAGGGTGGGCCCCCAGCGCTCGGGGAGCCTCGGGCGGGGAGTGCCGGTCTTCGGACTGGCAACTCACTCCCGGCCTCGTGGTTCCCCGGAAGGAGGGCTTCCAGCACACAGGGAGCTGCGGGTGGGGAGCGCCAGCCTCTGGCTGGCTAGCTTCCTGCCTGCTGGCTCCCGGAGGGTGGGCCCCCAGCGCTCGGGGAGCCTCGGGCGGGGAGTGCCGGTCTTCGGACTGGCAACTCACTCCCGGCCTTGTGGTTCCCCGGAAGGAGGGCTTCCGGCACACAGGGAGCTGCGGGTGGGGAGCGCCAGCCTTCTGGCTGGCTAGCTTCTTGCCTGCTGGCTCCCGGAGGGTGGGCCCCC